TAAAAGCTCCAACCAGCTCATGCCAGCTTTCCAGAGTCCCATGATTTCCATTTAAGACGATGTGGATACTTTAAGATACGGCCCTGACCCCACACTGCCACAGAAGAGGGGGTTAGAGTAGAACCAAACAAGTTAGCAGTTTTCTCCTCCACACATTGAGTCTCATCTGAAATACTGAGGTGCAAAATGTGTGAGTCTCAGCTAATGTGCAGAGAAATACAATTTTTTTGAGAGACATTTGCTTAAACGTGGTAAAGAACTCTTGTTTTATGGACTCCTTGCTTCATGTTCATTTTGTCTGTTTTTCTTTTGGCTTTTAACAATAGCTCATCTTTTTTGAATGTGAATTTAATTATGACCATATTAAAAAGTCCATCATAAACAAAGACTCCTCCTCATGGTATGAATATGCTCCATATGCCCATAATGGTGCATAAAGGATTTAGAAATTCAAATGAGTCTTAGGGTTGAAATTTCCAATGACCTGAGCAAGGCAGCTCCCTATAGCTTCTGGATAACATCTTACACCCAGAGTTCAGGCTTAAAGAGACCCATCAACACAATTATTTTCAGATTGTCTGTCTAGAAAAGGGCAATGCTCAAAGGAATATAAATAAGGGTGGGGACATATGCTTCCAGCCTGGTCCTTTCTCCATGTGGTTAAAAACAAAACAATGGAATGGCTGTGTTAATTTTTTTTTTTTTTTTATCTTTTCTAGCCTTTACTAAAATGTTTGGTAATGGAAATAAGTCAGGGAAAATAAAATGAAGAGGTCTCATCACTTAGTTAATACTGGTTTTTCTTCTTTATACTTAGTAATTTCTTAGTTTTTAAAATGATAAACCTATTTTGACAATCACTAACATCAATACATTTTATCATAAGTCCCATAAAAGATATTTAACATTCTCCACCTTTTGGCTAAGCTGGCTGCTACAGCACCACATTTCCAGTCCAGGAGATGTTTTCACAAACAGAAGGAGCGATTCACAGCATTAATAAGCAGACTTGGAAAGATAGATTTTATTGGCTATGGAGGAAGTTGTATCTTTCTTCTCAATCTAATTTTCAGTCCCATTTCGGTTTTGAGAATCTATCTCTATCAGAGGGGATCTTAATTTCTGACTACTGAGTACTTCCAATTTATAAAATAGCTGACTTTTAAAAAATTCTAACATCTTTCCCAAACTGTTTAGAAATATGCCATATTTGAAAGATGGAATACTGTTTGTTCCCAAGACCAACACAAGAAAAGGAGGTCCTCATCTTTGCTTTCCCGTACTCTTCCTCTGAGGCTAACGACTCAACTGTACATAGCTTTTGGAGTGGGAGCAAGGCAAGAAATCTCTTTAAAAAGAGCATTTAAAAAATGTGTGTCTATGTGTATATATGTATATTTATATGTCTACATAAATCTGTTCACAGGAACATGTTACATTATTTTCAACTCTAAATTATGCAGAAGACTATACAAAGTAGTTAATTAATACTATACTATCTACCTTCTTTTCAAAAGACATTTCACACAAATCCAAAAAGTAAACTGGCTTAAAGAATAAGACAATCATAACACCTCTTGCCCAGGCTAATTGTAATGCTTAGGAAAGGAAGTTCACGTTTATTTTTCTAAATGGATGATTTGCAAGTAAGGAAGAAAATTGTTTACAATTGATCAGTCACCAAAATCATTTTTTTTTTCTGGGAAAGGAAAAAAAAAATCCCAAGATCAGTATACGACTTCTTAATAAATTTATCTTCCCCCATGGAAGACTACTCATAAGTAACCTTTTGGACTCTGATATTTTATTACTAAATTTGGGAGTGAGTTGTTAATTACTTGGTATTAGCTATCTTGTAACTTGGTATTATTTGAGGCAACACACTACAGCTGTCACTTGCAAACACCTGATGGCATGGCTCTAATGGTGTAAGATCCTCTCCTTTGTTGTAACTCAATTTACAAAGCTCTGCCAGTTGCAATGGGATTGGGATTTATTCTGCATGCCTCCTCTAATTTACTTAATCACTTTACAGATGTGGAGGAGACCTAAAGAAAAAACCAAAATTATGAAATACTTTTTTTTTTTTTTTGAGATGGAGTCTCGCTCTGTCGCCCAAACTGGAGTGCAGTGGCCGGATCTCAGCTCACTGCAAGCTCTGCCTTTTGGGTTCACGCCATTCTCCTGCCTCAGCCTCCTGAGTAGCTGGGACTATAGGCGCCTGCCACCTCGCCCGGCTAGTTTTTTGTATTTTTCTTTAGTAGAGACAGGGTTTCACGGGGTTAGCCAGGATGGTCTCGATCTCCTGACCTTGTGATCCGCCCATCTCGGCCTCCCAAAGTGCTGGGATTACAGGCTTGAGCCACCGCGCCCGGCCTATGAAATACTTCTGATGCCAAACCCAGATCTCATTATTTCTTGGCAAAGCAAAATTAACAGAGACCCTTGGGATGATATATAATTAATTTAAGGCAAAGAAACTAATATCAGTTCAATTCTGTATGTGTTACAAGTTATACATGAAATGACAATTTTCCTCCTATATTAAAGGGCTAGAAAATAAAACCAACCAAATGACATGAGCTAAACTGTAACAAAGGCTTTCTTGAGATTTGCTAACAAAGGAGAAATAAAGCTCAAAATTGGCTTTTTGAGTGGCTCCTTAATCATGCACACAGGCTTGTTCAGTATATCACACAGAGTGTTTCTTCTTCCTGCCAATTAATTTGGCATTCATTAAGTAATGAATGAAACTGAAGAATGATGATCTCCTCAGGCTGGTATTTGTGTGGCAGACAGCTCAGATATCTGAGCTAACTGCTGGGACTGCTAGCATCCCAGATGGTACAGAGCTATGTTGCAGCAAGAGCTTAAACTCAGTGAATAAGCAAGGGAGCCCCCAAACTGCATGTGGAAATGTTTCATGGCTGGTTTTCCTGCTGGATCCTTAACAAGGAACTGGCTATACGTAAGAAGCTGCTCACCTAGTTTAAGATTTAGAGCCCATTAACACTAGATTTTCTGTTTTAAGATCTCACATGGTTATTTGGGAGAAGGGAAGAAAGGTAACTAACCAAGAAATGCTACTTCCCAAAGATTATTTGGAATTACTGAATATTCTGGAAGCATGAGCTTTGAGGCCTTTTGGTAGTCTTTTTCCCAGCATCTCATAAACAAAATTATTTTAGGGTTAGAAATGAAGAAATTTCTTTTTCCTTTCGATTTGTAGACCTCTAAAATCCATGGGCAAAAAAGCTCCTATTTTTCCTCCTCTAACTACCCTCATTATCTTCTCTAGCTCGTTCCTGAAGTTTAATACTTCCAGGTCAAAATGCCTTAGATAAGCAAAATAGGACCTTGCACATAAATGTTTAATAGTTCCCTGAGGCTGTTTGAAAAGCAGATAAAAAGGAAGACATTATTTTATAATTAAAAGTGATACCTTAGAACTGGTCCAGTTCCCTACTAAACATTTCACCTTTTTTGTTGTTGACCCTACAGCTTTCAGATAACATCCATGTTAAATTCTGTTTTCCTGCAAGCTTGGCAGTGTTTGGGGATAGACAGCATACTGCAAATCTTATTTCCAAATAACGATTCCAATTAAGAAGATAAACTAGGACTACTCTTTCATTTTTGTGTTTTTAAGCTGTTAAGTAGGATCCAGCTCACAAAACTTTAGCAAAAAAGACAGTGATAATTTCCTCCGATGGCATTTCTCTCTGCACCACTAGAGAAACTAATTTACTATAACCTCTAATGACTCCTTAGGTTAAGGGCTACAGAAGCTACCATCAGATGATTTCACTGGCTATGATTGGCATAAGAGTTAGTCATTTGAAAATGGAGCTAAATTCACATTTTTTGTTGTTGTTGTTTTTTGGAGACAGTCTTGCTCTATTGCCCAGGCTGGAGTGCAGTGTTGCAATCATAGCTCACTGCAGCCTCAAACTCCTGGGTTCAAGTGATCCTCCCACCTCAGCCTCCCAAGTAGCTGGGACTACAGGCACATACCACCACACCTGGCTAAAAAACAAAAATTTTTAAAGTACAGATGAGGTCTTGCTATGTTGCCCAGGCTGGTCTCAAATTGCTGGGCTGAAGCAATCCTCCCGTGTCACCCTCCCAAAGGTCTGGGATTACAGGTGTGAGTCACTAAGCCCAGCCTAAATTCACATTCTTGAGGGGAAGAGACATTTATAAGACTGTATTATTTTTGAGAAAAAAAAAGCAAAGCAATTATTTCTTTTTTTTTTTTTTGAGGCGAAGTTTGCTCTGTTGCCCAGGCTGGAGAGCAGTGGCACAATCTAGGTTCACTGCAAGCTCCACTCCCCCCGGGTTCACGCCATTCTCCTGCCTCAGCCTCCCGAGTAGCTGGGACTACAGGCGCCCGCCACCACGCCCAGCTAATTTTTTGTATTTTTAGTAGAGACGGGGTTTCACCGTGGTAGCCAAGATAGTCTCGATCTCCTGACCTCATGATCTGCTCACCTCGGCCTCCCAAAGTGCTGGGATTACAGGCGTGAGCCACCGTGCCCGGCAAAAAGCAATTATTTCATGGCAATTGAAGCCATTTCTAATATTCAACTATGTCAGAAATTTAAAGTCAATTCTTAACACAAATTCTAGCTTCAGCAGAAAATCAATGCCACTCATGAGAGGTAGGAATAGAAACAAAAAGATTAAAAAATACAATAAAAAGAAAAACAAAAGGTAAATGGAAATTCTGATGATATGCTGAATTCAGGAGCTCTGCTATCAAACTTGTACTTTACCGTAGATAGTTCTATGACAAGAGTCCCTAATGCCAGGAAAAGAGGCCAACACAGGTTTCTCCATTAAAGCTGCCACAGCCATTATTACTATCCCCAAATGAAAATGACTCAAGTATGTTTACAGCAACATCTGAATGCTATTAATTCCTTATTAATTTCATTATTCTCTTGTCATAAATAAGGATAATAGAGCATTTGCCTCAGAATGATTTTGATCTTTTTTTCCCAAGTAATACAATGCTCCTACAGAATGCCACAGAAAATCTCAGAAGTCTAGGGCTAACGAAAGTCAAGAATAAAGTTACATTAGCTAAGAAAAATAAATGGAAAAACAATTCACAGTATTTGGTGGATAGAAGGAAACCAAGGTTTTAAAAATCATATATAAATAGAACCTCTAAGACAGGATTTATTGAGAAAAAGAAAAAGCATTTGGTGAAGAAATTGACATACTGCAGTAATGAGTCCTCACCTAAAACAAATGAGGGCAGCATCATTCATGTGAGCTCGTCAGCTTCATATTATTTCGACAAACTTGGAAATGTCTACCTTCAACCAACAGACCTCTAGACTAGAAGTTTTGGATAGCCAAGTCATTTCAGCATTAAAACAAATCACAGGGAGATAGAAGCCAGGGTCTAGAACCACAAAAGAATAGTGTTATTTGACTAATAAGGATTACAAAAATCTCTTGTGTTAAAGCGCCCAAAGATCTAATCTGTCATATGTAGACCCTCTATGATACTCCTCCAGTCATAAACTTTTTCTGGGGCAGCCTTCACATCCTAGATCAGGGGCTATTTTAGGAATTCAAAACTCGGTGAGAATTCAGGCAAGAATTTCTGCAAAGGGATGAAATTGTGGATTAATGTGGATTTTTAAGAAAAGAAGGGTTAGGAAGGGTTGTTTTTTTTTTTTAATAGTTAGATGACTTTATTTAGAATATACGTTGTAATGATTCCCTCCCACAGAAATCACTTTAAACCATAACACACAAATACTGTGCAACATTCAACCAGCTAAGGATTTCACGTGACTTTCAGGAAATAAGTGACCCACAGTTACCCAGTGAATTCCATGTAGTGTTAAGAATAATTGTAGGTACTTCTTCATGTAATTACCATGAAATTGAGTATAATTTAGAGAATAAAATCAGGAACATACTCCTACCTAAGTGCTTTTTTGATCCATTAAGCATTCGTGCTTATCTCTCACTAAATGCTTGGGTGCCTCAAACTAGCTTTTGTTTACAGGCTAGATTTTAAAACACTGTTTTATTATACCTCTGTTAATGTATCTCTACATAGCACTTTAAAAGCAGACGTGAAGAGACCAACTGGAATAAGCTGCCAACTATTTATATACAATATACATACTTTGCCCAAGAATGCAGTTTTAGAAGCTTAAATCACTGAGCTCTAAACCCATCAAACTTTTCTATGATAAGCCAGTGACTTTTTAATGTATTCTATCAGTTTTTACTTATTAGACATGGACAGGTCTGTTTTCATATAAATGAAAATCAGGTCTAAAAGATGGCCTTGATAAGAGTTAATACTGTCTGTCAGCTTCAGCACAGAGGTAGGCATTCAAGTCTGAATTCCTTTGTTTGAATAAGAGTGATATATTCTTGAATCAATCAAACTGGCCACATGAGGTCTCTGCCATTACCAAAATAAAATGCAAATGCACTTAAGAGGTATCTTGAAAATCAGATTATTTCTCATGAAGTACAAGCACTGAAAATAATGTTGGATATCTAGTTTAATTTCTGGTTGAAAATAATGTATTATACTAGGAAAAAGGAAGAATGAGGTTGAAGTTGGAGATAATACAAATGAGCAAACTGTATCCCACTTAATTCATGTGTCTAAAGTGTTAGCCAGGTGTTTCAATTAGGGATTCACCTAGGCTAGAATGAAATAATTGTTAGGTAGTAAAGCATATACACTTGGCTATATAAACAGTGTACCTAAATACCAAATTCGATTATTTAAATTATAGTCTATGCTGGAATTCTTGGAAATACATGTGGGTCCTCACTAAATAGTGACATCTTGTGAGCAACATGTCAATCTTAGTCATGGATATATGAAGCACTACATTCTCTGCAATCATTTCCAGCAGTGCTTCCATTAAAGCCCCACAGTACCGTGTCTGACTTTTCAATTATCTCCTCAGTACATCTATCTCACTTTGGCAAGAGCAAATGGCTCGCTATGATTCAACCCCATTTAAACATGGCGGTGAGCAAAAAATTCCAGAAATGAAGGGGGAAAATTTTACCTAAATAAAGTGAGGAAAGATGAAATTAAAACAAATATGTTTTCCAAAAAAACTAGTAGGGAAGCAATTAGGGAAAAACAAAAATAAAATTACTGAGGTCAAGAACTTAGTTTCCTCCAAGTAACATTTAAGGAACTGATGAAAACAATTACAAAGAAGCACTGTAAAAATAAATGGTGGAGGGCAGCAGGATTTCGCTTGCTTAATCTTTTTAAAGTGCCAGAATTCATACTAAGCAAAACTAGAGCTTTTAAATTTAGGAAGTCTTAGCAAGTTCAAGTTCTTCCTTGTCAATCTTCTGATTTTCACCTGTCTCCCAAAAGATTTAACAAGCTATATTAGTGATATTAATATTTTATGTTCTTGTGTCACTCAGGGGAATCATTTTATGAAACTGTTCAAGTATGTAAGTAAACTGTATTTGCTTGACTGGATAGCCACTTGGTTATTCTGCAGCTACACAAGTTGGTACTTGCTGAATTATATAGCATACCTTTCACAAGTAAAGGTACAGATCAAATTGCTTAAGAAATCACTGTTGACTGCTTTGGGATGCTAGGAAAGCCAAGGAGCCCATGATTCAAGCCTAGAACTAACAAAAATACATTCCCATCAATCCCCAAAAGAAGTAAAACCATGTACTAAAGACAGAATAAAGTGGGACCTCAATGTTTCATTCCTATACATGACACTTTTTGAAACTGCAGGTTAATTTCTTCTTTGGTGAGGCCTAATCTTGCTACTCAGGGACATACTTGATTCCATAAAGCTATTCACTCTTAAGAGCCACTGGATCGACCGACATTTCTTTAATACGAGTCTGCTTTAGCATGGTGGCGGTCAGCTTCACACAACATGGTTTTTGAGCAAATGTAAGCACTAGCCAGATGCAGGTTCCTCACATTGCATTCCACAGCACCTTCTCAGAAGATATGTACCTCTCTCTCACACAAAAAAAACCGACCTGTGGAAAAGTGCATCTGCCATACCTTGTTTTTTAATGAAAAAATATTTGAACTGTTCACAAAGTCTGGTCTATGTGCTTAATGAAATGCCTGTCAGTTGTATACCACTGGACAACCACAAACCATTTCTCTTTAAAATATCAATATCCACAAGCAGATATAGAGAGACAATGTGTATAAAAATAAATGAAAGCAAAGCTCTGGAAACCCAGCCTCCTCTCTCAAATGAAAATACTACAGAGACAGCACAAGAGAAACGGGAGCCCTGGTTCTGCAGAGCTCTTCTGCACGAAAGAGTCATTTTCTCCTAAAATTGCTATGAAGATATTATTCACTACTCGATCCCTCCTGCTGGTCATTTTTAGAATGGCTCTTAAAGGTTCTGAACTATTGTCTCCTCAGTTTAAGGTTTCTGTGACTCAAAGTCAGATGCTACTGTAATATCTACTATAAAATATATCATTACAGAAATATTATATACCAATCTCAGATAGGTGCTAGGGTCAATCTCAGGTTTCCTGTTTAGTTTTATGGCCAAGAGTGCAAACTTGAGACCTCAGTTCTGCCTACTGTTTAACGTAACACAAAACAAGTCAACACAGACACAGATATCACCTTAACATACATCAACTGTCCTAGAGAACTATACACTTGTTAAGAATGAAGTAAAGAGGTAAACAAGTGACACCACTTACACGCAGTTGTGTGATGGGAGGTGAAGTGAAATGGGAAGGGAGAAGGCAGGTCAAATGACCAACAGCAACAACATTCAAAATACTTGTAGTGCCGAATCTGTTAATAGTGCTTATTTCCCCCAATTAAAAAAAAGAAATAAAAATCTGAAAGGGTAAACTGCCTAATTTTTCTTTTATACTCATTAATTCTTAAAAGATAAAGTAAGAAAAATATATATATATATTTAACTGGAAAGTATACCAATTTCACTTTATTAGCCTAATTTAGGAATAGGATGAGGAGAGCAGGGTTGAGGTCAGGCATGAAGGAAGAGGGTAAAAACTTGTGATGGTTAAGATCCCTTCAAAACTCTGGTGCAGTCCTCAATCACTGCAGCTTTACTGTCAGTCAATGGAGCTGCAATCCAAAAGATGGAAAATCCACTCCTGTTTTCCATTTCTGTGTCCAGTGACTCTTCAGTTACAGTGTGATGAGGTCTACCAGGTTGCCTTTAGGTGGAGTCATGCTGTCAGGAAAGAAATTTACTAAGGTGTCAAAGAGCTGAGTTCTTTGAGCATAGGTGTGATCCACATCAGAAAAGCCTGGTGAAGAAGATACAAAGAAACATCCATTGTGTTTAAAACATGTAACAGAAAAACTAGTTGAGACCAGCAGCAATGTATTTTATAATGGAGAAATCAAATCAGGTTTCAAAACCAGGCAGACACTACTGATCTGACCCCAGTTCCACTACCTGGCTGTGGTGTGACCTTAGGTAAATTAATCAGACTTTCTGGCTTTCAGACTTTGCTTCCTCAGCTGTAAATATGTGACAATCCTGTTTACTTCATCCAGTTATCGTGCGGATGAAATGTAGTTACATGAAAAACGTCTAGCAGAAGGACTGGCAATTCAGTTACTAAATAATATTGATCTTTCTTCTCTTCCTTACAAGGTCTTTCCTCTGCTGGTCCACTGAGGAAATTCCACTTGTCTTTTCTGACTTGTTAATGCTTCTGAACCACTAAGAAGTTTTTTGGTAATAAAAATATAATAAAATCAAAATGAAAGGTCTTTAGAAATTAGTCTAAAATCATTAATGTCTCTGAGACAGCTGGAGGTAGTCTCAGAGAACTGAGTGATAACACAGATGACTGAGGGAAAGAGATACATGTACAATATATAGAATGGTACCTGTGCGTAATAAACACTATACCTTTATGCTACTATGTACCAGGCCCTATGCTAGGCACACATCATGTGAGGAATAGGGCAATAAACTACTTCTATCCTGATAAATATTAGAAAGCGCATGACATTTTTAAAAGGTAGGGACTGTTAAATTAAAGGATTTTTCCCCTAACCTCTAATAAACATTCAACGATCAAGTTCATTCCAGCTAAAGGAACATTCAGTGAGATGCTGTCTTCAAGTGGTTTATCTCAGCTGCTTCAGATTTCTTACATACAAATGAGATATTTAAGTGATAAAATAAAATAAATAATTTCCCCTATTCCTGAAATAGCTGAGACATGAGAGCACTGCTGAGTGCCATGAGAAACAGAAACAGAGCCATCAAGAGTTATATATGCCATGGTGTTCAGTGAAGGTGACTTCAGATCAGACTGCTTTTCATTCAACTTAGAGAACCATTTTAGGTCCAATCTGTTTTAATCTTGTAGAAGAACAGGAATAGACCATAACATTGCCAAGGATACCAGTTTCCTGGAAGGAACATAAACAATGCCTCAAGAACAGCACATTCCTTTTTATTTTTTAAAAATACATTGTTTTAAGTTTGAGGAAAATGTTTACTTGAGATGAGCTTGAGTTTAACAAAGCCCACTATCGGATCATGGAAATGAATGGAAAGAAATACTCCAACATATTGACAAAGGTTATCTCTGCGGTGAGATAAGAGTCTTCCTTTCTATTTTATGCTTTTTTTTTTTTTTAAATTTTCCAATTGTTTCTTTTTCAACTTTTTATTTTGAAAAATTTCAAACCCACACAAAAGTTTCAAGAATTGTGCAATGAACACCCCATAGAGCCTTCACTTAGATTCATCTCATCAACTGTTAAAAGTTTCACCAAATATGTTCTCCCTCTCTCTTTCCCTGTGTGTGTACCCCACTGAAAATCTTTTTGCAGAACTATTTGGGAGTAAGTTTTAGACAGCTTTGCCCCCTATATGCTCAAACTAATTTCAGCTAAGAACAAGAACATTAACTTACATAATCAATATATATTAAATTCATGAAATTTAACATTGATGTCCCAATAATACCAGTCATTTTTCAGTCACTTTTTTATAGTCATGTTTCCTACTAACATCCAATCCAAGATCACATACTGAATTTAGTTTCCAATCTCTTGAGTTTGAAATAGTTCCTCAGCCCCTCTTTGTCCTTTATGATACTAGTACTTTTGAAGAGCACAGAACACTTATCAGTGGAATGTGCTGAAGTTGGGTTGCCTGATTGTTTCTTCATGATCAGATTCAGTTTATGCAGTTTTGGCAAGAATACTACAGAAGTGATACTGTGTGTCTCAGGGCATCATCTCAGAAGGCATGTGGTATCAGTTTATCCCAATACTGATGATGTTAACTTTGATCGTCTGCTTAAGCTGGTATATATGCCAAATTTCTCCAAGGTAAAGGTACTCTTTTCTACCTTTGTAATTAATAAACTATTGATAGGGAGATAGCTTGATGAGACTGTGTAAATATCCTGTTCTCCAACAGCCCTGCATCCAATAATTTAGCGATCATTGATGATTCTTTCTAAAACAATTATCAGTTATATGATGGTGATTTTCTAACCCTATGATTCCTTCTACAGTTGTTGACATTCTATTGTAAAGAAGAGCTTTTTCTTCCCCTCCTCCCATTTTACTTATTTGTTCACATCACTGTGTACTCAGGGATTCTTCTCTTGTTCACTATGTTATACTCATTACTGTCATCATTCATTCTGATACTCATACTGTCCCAGATTTGACCAATGAGAGCCTTTTTGAGCTGGCTTCTGTGTCTTTTTGAAATATACGCATTAATTTTGGGGTATCTTCTTGCTTTCTGATATATGTCCAAATTCATCTTTACACAGTTCTGGAGTCCTAATTCCTTTTAGCTGTGACTATTATTTAAAAACCAAGCAAGAACAGCTGTACTAATTGCCAGGGTGTCACTGTTTCTAGGCCTATGCACACATACCTATCATATGCAATACATTTTTTTTTAGAATATTACAGTTCATGCTTTTATTACTAATTCTAATTTCTTAAAGCCCCAGAGGATTTAAGAAATTAATCCTTCTCTTATCCCATTCCATATCTCCTTTCTTCCACCAAGAAAACCCTCTCAGCAACATCGTATTTGTTCAACTTAAAATACATAAGAGTTCTAGATTTGCTATATATGTACCACCACCAACAAAAACTCAACATTACTTTGCTTTGTTTTTAGACTATAACTCACTGAAAGTATACAGTCTAAGCACTGTACTAAAATGGCTTAGTTCTCTCTTTTATGTTCTGAATATGTAGAAGTACAATGCCGTGTTATATTTTTAAAATAAGATATTGATTCTGTAACGCTACTCTAATAAAGTAATACCATTTTCTTGAGATCAAATTATCTAAGAGGGAAGAAACACTGAGTTCCTGTGTGGTAGGTACTTTAGGTATGATTATATTTCATTGTCACAAAAACAATGAAGTATTATAATCTCCAGTTTCAGATGAGACGACTTAGAGAGATTCAATAATCTTAAAGTTATTACTATTTTTGTTCTTCATCTATCTCTTTTACACAGAAAGAGATTCAGTAATTCAATGAAGTCTCACAGCTAGGGAGGGAAGAGATGGAATGTGGAACCCACGTCTGTCTGACTCCAAAGCCCTTTATTTTTCATTAACTCATAGTCATTAAGTGCTTAAGTTGTAGGGCAATGTACTAAGCTCATTTAACTCTCAAAGCCACATCTTTTATTTTTATTTACTATTTACCTATGAGGAAACTGAAATTTACACTACCATTAGATGAATGGTTAAATTATGGTAGATCCCTATTATGAATAATTATGTATCACTTCAAAAGAATACAACTGATCTAGTGTAGCTTCATAAAAACATCTACAAGCCACATGACTAACTTTAAAAAATTATGCTGTGGAATATGTTTTTACATTATATAATAAATTTAAACAGCACATACAAACCTATATATTTATATGGGTGTGTGTGTGTGTATATATAGTTGATCTTGATCATTTACACATTCCGTATTTGTGAATTTGCCTGTTTGCTAAAATTCATTTGTAACCCCTAAACCAATACTTGTGGTATTTCTGTGGTTATTACAGACAGGTGCTAAAGTGGCAAAATATTTGAGTTACCACACGCACACGTCCCCAGCTGAGGCTGAACTCTGTGATCTCTGCTACTTTCTAGTTTCGGCTCTTACTATCCACAACAGCCCTTTCACCATCTATTTGGTGCCACATTTTTGTGTTTTTGGTGGCTTCACTGTTTAAAATGGCCCCCAAATGTAGTGCCAAAGTGCTGTCTAGCATTCCTAAGTGCAAAAAGGCCTTATGGGGAAAATATGCATGTTAGATAAGCTTGGTTCAGGTATGAGTTAGAGTGATGTTGACCATGAGCTTCATGTTAGTGAAGCAACAACATATATTAAATGAGGAATCTTTAAACAGAAACACACATAACATGTGGTTATATATTGATCAGTAGATAAAATGTTATGACCAGAGGCTTGTAGGAACCTAACTCTGTATTCTACTTTGAATGAGAACCAATTGCATCTATGTCTGTGTATATGATTGTGTGTGTGTAAAGGTGTATTACATATAAGTGATTATACTTGAGGGTAAAAGACAGAGATTGAGGAAAGTTGTTTAAGGAGAATCCTAAGCTTTATATGTAATCAATGTTTTTTCTAGAAACAAATAAAAAAGGGGTGGGGATCTAGGAAACTCATCAATAGCACCACAACTACTTAAATGGCACTGCTAGGACAACAAGGTGATACTAATTCTAAACCTCATGCTCCTAATCACTATGTTTATCTTACTTTATTTTCATACATAAAATAAAATGGAAAGAGGATGTAACCATTTGAGCAGTGGCAACTGGTAAAGCTCAGTGAGAGGTAGCACATTTAGTGGTTTAGAGAAGGCGTTCTGAAGCCATACTGACAGGGTTTTAATCCTGGTTTTGCCCTTCACTAGCACTATGCCTGGGCAAGTTACTTTAGCCTCTCTGCACCCTAGTTTCTTCATATACAAAAGGGGATCACATAGTAGCTACTTCATAGGGTTACTGTGGGGTAATCATGAGTTAAGACATGCAAAGTGCTTAGAACAGTACCTGGTCCCAAAGTAAGTGCTCAATAAATATTAATTAGCTATCACCCTATCACTAGTAGTATGACTGAAGGCAATGACTGCTCTAAAAATAAAGTGACCTATTAGGAATAATTTTTTGTTTTTAGAGATGGGGTCTTGCTACGTTGCTCAGGCTGGATTCAAACTCCTGGGCTCAAGAAATTCTTCCATCTCACATCACCATGCCTGGTTAGGAATATACTTTTAATTTATCATCCTACACGTAGCTGGATTTTCCTACTGTGGTAAAGGAGAAATAACATGAATTCTCATTTTTTTCCTAGCATACACATTATTAAATGTACACTTATTTCTAACACTAAACTTCATATTTGGACTGTAAACTTCTAAAAAGAGTTGTGAGGACCAAAAAAGGACAAACCTGAGCAAGACAGTGAGATCTCCTCTCTTCAAAAGATGTAAAAAAAGAAAAAAAATTAGCTCAGCGTGGTTGTGCATGCCAGCAGTCCCAGCTACTCGAGAGGCTGAGGCAGGAGGATTGCTTGAGCCCAGGAAGTCCAGGCTGCAGTGATCCATGACTGCACCACTGCACTCCAGCCTAAGCATCAGAGCAAGACCCTGTCTAAATAAATAAATAAATAGGTAATATGCTTTAGAGACCAGATTTTTCCTACTTGTCACAAACCTTGCTGAAAAGAAGTTTAATTGTTCCAATTCATACTTTCTAGAAATAACATACAGCTCTCAAACTTAGCAAAGTGACTGAGTTCAATCTTACAAGTGCCTATAGCCACCAGAAGCTCTAAAATCAAGATCCTTGGAGATTTTCTCCGAGGTCACACATTTTTCCAAAACTAAGATAATATCACCTTCCATCTTTCTGATTCTTTAAAATATTACATACTATATTAATACTTTTATTTAATTCTCACTAAGAGATGAACGTAAATTGGATTATTTCTGGAGGGAGTCATTCAGAAAGTTTGGCTGAGGCTTTTTTTTTTTTCAGACCTTAGAAAATGAAATATTCATTTATACAGTGAAAGGTATAGTAAATAATCCATTTTATTTCTAATCTAATTGGCATAAAGATAAAATAGTCTGACAGAAAATGAATAAAAACAAGAACCAGGAACTCTAAATAGGCATGAAACCTTATGAAAAGTACTTCTTGTTTATAAATAGTAAATCAAATTTCTCATTATTAAAATTAGCATACAATCTGAATTTGCTCCTTATCCAAATTCACCAGTGTTACAAAGGTGACTTTTTTTTTTGAAAAACAGAGACAAGATTCTGCTATGTTACCCAGGTTAATCTTGCACTCTCGGGCTCAAGATGATCGTCCCACCTCAGCCTCCAAAAGTGTTGAGATTACAAGCATTAGTCATCGCACCTGGCTAGAAGATTACATTTTTAAGGCAGTGAATATTAATGGTACCCTGAATGGAGCATTATTGCTTTACTGTGCTAAATGTCTTCCAGAATTATTTCATTTAATTCTCTCAGCAATTTGAGGCAAGTACTCCCATTACCTCCATTTTACAGATAAAGAAACTGATAATTAGAAAGTTTAAGTAACTTGCTCAAGATCACTTTTAAGAGATCCTGACTCTTAACCACCATCTCACATTCCAACCTCCTCATCACTAGGCTATACTACCTCCCCTCAGACAAGACAGGAAACAACATCCCACAGGAATTTTCCCTGCTTGTATTTTTCTCTTTTTGTGTTTGTATTGTTCTCAGTACATCTGAGGTTTGTTTAGAATCCAAATAAAACAAACTATTCCTGACAAAATATATTAGTTGGCAGTGAATAGGACAGAGTCAAAAGAAAGGAAAGGAGTTAAGCTGAAGGTAAAATATTTGCTGACACCACCCTAATTAATATATTTAAATTGCTGCCAAGAAATTCTTGTTCTAAAGGCTAAAAATAAGTCAGTTAGATATAATTTAGTGCTATCCACTAATAAATAAAAATAATGGGCCTGGGCTGTGGTATCAGACATAAGGCACACAATCATTCAAAAAGAATATATGCCAGACCCCCAATTCATGTATCAGTACATCTATTTCAAATGCTAGAATTCAGAAGAGCATGAACTTTCCAAAGTAATGCTTACACCTAGGTTCTCCAGCTCACAGAGTGGAGATTTCTAGTAGCCTAAGGACTTCAACTCGAGTGTATGAATAGTGGTAAATCATTATCTAAATTCTTAGGAGAACCTTCTGGAGTCACGTTTATAGCAGTTTGCTGAGTCTAGTCCTGAGGAATCCTACATATTCTGAAGTTAGAACTTAGGACTGGAGTTGCCTTGATCAGTCTAGAAGCCTCAATCACTCGCTATGGATAAAGGGCAAGACCTCAAGAACACCTCTATTTTTTCATCCCAGTGAAAAGCACCAGAATTATCCATACTCTTTTTTCTTTGAGGTACCGTTCACTTTTAAGAGATAAAAGGTCAAATAATGAAGAAACTAAATTGATATCCTAAAGTGTTAATTTATTCCAAATAGAAAAAATAGTATTTATATTACATACAATGGAAAATTTCAATACTATTGCTCAACTCTAAGGCAAACAATAACTGCACTAGCATCAATGGGATTAATATGCATTCACTGACCAGAGGAAAGGTAGGAATTTCCATACTTCAAGAATATCATCTTGGTAAAAAAATGAAGCTACTAATAAGTTATCCTGATGAAAATACTCTTGAAAATTCACCCAAGTAAAGGTGTGGGTTCTGCAGACTACCCACTTTACTACAGTCTTGGATTTTTTTTTTTTTTTTTTTTAGATAAGAGTCTTGCTTTGTTGCCCAGGCTGGAGTGCAATGACATGATCTTGGCTCACTGCAACCTCCCACTCCTGGGTTCAAGCGATTCTTCTGCCTCAGCCTCCCGACTAGTTGGGATTACAGGCACGAGCCACCATGCCTAGCTGATTTTTTTAATTTTTTATTTTTAAAGACAGAAGGTTTCTCTCTGTCGCCTAGGCTGGAGTGCAGTGGCATGATCTTGGCTGACTGCAGCCTCTACCTCCTGCGCTCAAGTGATCCTCCCATCTCAACTTCCTGGGTAACTAGGACTATGGAAGCACACTACTACACCTGGCTAATTTTTAAATTTTTTTTTGTAGAGACGAGGTCTCACTATATTGCGCAGGCTTGGCTCAAACTCCTGGTGGGCTCAAGCATCAGCATCCCAAAGTGCTACGATTACAGGTATGAGCCACTGTGCCTGGCCTACAGTCTAGTTAATAATTCATTAATACTAAATGACAGTATTACTAAACGAAGACTAAAGTGTCTGAGAAAAACTTGAGTTTCAACTAGAAGTTATCTTGAACAATTAAGATAACAAAATTCTCATTTTTAGGAAAGAGATAATCTATCTTCTGTGCTCCCAAAACATTGCCTACCCCATAGCTATTCTCCTGGTGACACACAATTCCATAAAGAACAAACTGAGAAGAAAAACTATTTAATCAACAAGTATTATCTCATAGTATGTATCAGTAATACAGCCTACATTCCAAGCAGTGCTATACAAATTAATTTATTTTGACTGTGTTTCTATTGCTATCTGTTTGCATACTAACACAGCAATTGGTATAATAGTCATTGCAAACTGAACTGATAAATGATACCTGAAAGTAACTTTGTAGCAGGTTATTAGAAATTTTGCATGATACCCTGAAACTTCATTTGCTCATCTATTTGTTTGAAACATCTCACCTGATGTTTCATGTAAAGGAAACCAAGATCCAACCTTCCAAATGCTAGGGCATCTAGCTGGATAAATTATACTGCAATACTTACCTAGAGCTGTAAAATCTGAACCAGATTTGAATAGAGCTGATGCCAGGAGCTGAAACTGTTTAAGAAAGAAAAAAAAAAAAAAAGCAGCAAATTAGCTGGCTAAGTGCACTGAAGGAAAATAACCTTCTATAACTTTGACCATTTATCAGCAACTACATATTTCAGAATATGTGTGACATAGGTCTATTCACCAAATAGTGGCAAGAAGAACACATTCAGATTACAGAATACAATGACTTTTCTATCAGGCTGCTATTATCATTTTCCAAAATACTGGGCCATTTCCTGGAATTATTTTATTTTTAAAATGTATTAAAGTATGTATTTATTAAGGAACAACAGCACAATAAAATAAAAAAGAAAATTGTCATTTGAATCTAACAGATATGATCAGATTGGTGCCCTGGGCTCTGTTACCGAATTTTTAGCATATACACATTCTCATCTCAAAATAAATGTAAGCCACTGTAAAATACCTGATGTCTCAGCTGTGTAAATCAAAATCTGAGGAAAAAAAGCATGTATAGACAATTTCTAAATTACAACTTAGTTTGAGATTCCACAATTATATATAATCACGTTGTTAAAACCCAAAGGCCTTTTTTAATGGACATAATGTTGTAAATGATGCTTAGATTTCCAGGCTGTCAAAGTTAGTTTAAAACAGACAATGTAATTTAACAATGAAGAAACAGAGTAAGACAAAACTATTGCAACATTAGCAATTTAACAAATAGACACAAAATAAAAAATCTGGAGAACTATTTATATTTATCTTGAATGAGAATGCAGGAAAAGAGGCAAATTAAAGGAATGAATTAAAGCAGACAAACTCCTCAATGGAGTTACTGGGTACTTCCCAAGACCTGAGCAGTTAATATCGCCAATTCCTCAGGATATATTTCACATATATGTTTGCAGTCTTTAACATTTCAGGTATTAAATCATACCAACATTTGTAAGCCCTGATGAATGGTCCTGATGAATCAGAAATTGTACAAATATTCCATAGGTATTCATCTAAGCAAGAGTTACGAAAATGGGGGGTAAAAAGAAAAATTTAAAAATGCATAGAAGTTCTTTATGTATTCTGGGTATCAGTCCTCTGTCAGATATATCTACTGCAAGGATTGTTTAGTCTGTGGCTTGTCTATTTATTTATTTATTTATTTATTTTTTGAGGCAGGGTCTCGCTCTGTCACCCAGGTGGGAGTGCAGTGGCGTGATCATGACTCACTGCAGCCTTGACCTCTTGGGCTCAAGCAATCCTTCTGCCTCATTTTTTGATTTTTTTTTTTGGTAGAGACGAGGTCTCACATGTTGCCCAGGCTGGTCTCAAACTCCTGGTATCAAGCAATCCTTCCTCCGAGGCCTCCTAAAGTGCTGGGATTACTGGTGTGAGCTACTGAATCTGGCAATATCTCTTTATGTTTTTAGTAGTCCTTTAATGAGTAGAAATTTTAACTCTTTTGAAGTCCAATTTATCAAGATTTTTCTTCAACAATTACTGCCTTTATTCGCGTCCAAGACATCTTTACCTGTCCCAATGTTGTGAAGATAATCTCCTGTTTTCTTCTCAAAGTCTTATTCTTCTGGATTTCATCTTAAATTAATGTTTCAGTAAAGAGTGAGAAAGGTTTGAGATATCCAGTTATTCAGTAGCATTTGTTAAAAACTTTCTTTTCCCTGTTGGACTTGGCACCCTGGTCAAAAAACAACTGACCACATATGTATGGGTCTACTTCTGGACTCTATTCTGTTGTATTGATCTATTTATCTATCCTTAAGCTAGTAGCACACTGTCTTGATTACTGGGGCTTTACGTAGAGTCCTGAAATCTGATAGTATAAGGCTTCCAATTTTTTCTTTTTTCAAAATTGTTTTAGCTAGTCTAAAACCTTTGCATTTCCATGTAAATTTTACAGTGGTTTCTCTATTTCCTCAATGACAACAACAATAAAAACCAAATTTACACTGCATTAAAAGGCCAATTTGGGGAAAACGGGCAGCTTTAAACAATTTTTATCGTTTCAATCCATAAATATATCTCTTCATTTATCAAGGTCTTCTTTAATTTCTTACAACAGACTCATTCTACCCATTTGATATTTCTCTTGCTAATATAAACTATGCTTTTCATTTTCTAATTGTTCTCTGCTAGTATAAAAATAATTGCTAATAATTACTTTTTTTTTTCTCCTGACCTTGTATTTTTGTCATCTTGCTAAATTCACTTGTCCTAGTATATTGTTTTGTAGACACCATGGGGTTTTGAATGTACATAATCATGTTACCTACAAATGCAAGCAAATTTACTTTATCCTATCCAATCTATATGCTTTTTATTGTTTTTTCTTTATTACACTAGCTAGTGTAATTCTGGTAGAATGTTGAATAGAGAGGCTGATAATAATTTCCTTGTCACAAGCTTAGGGAAAAGGGTTTAATGTTTAACAATTAAGAATAGTCCTAGCTGTATGTTTTTCACAGGTGTCCTTTAGGAATTTAGATTCAAGAAGTTTCTTTTTATTCCTAGTTTGCTAAGAATTTTTATTCTGATGAGTCTGAATTTTGTTAGATGCTCTTCTTCACTTACTAAGATGATCTATGGTTTTCCTTCTTCATTCTGTTAACATGGTGAATTACACTGAATTTTTTTTTCAAATGTTAAACTAGCCATATATTCCTAGAATAAACCACCACTTAGTCATAGTACACTAACCTTTCAATATATTCCTAATTAACTAAAATTTTCCTAAGAAGTTTATATTTATGTTCATGAAAAATACTGGTCCATGATTTTCTTCGCTTGTAATGTCTCTCTTGGAATTTTATTTTATTCTAATTTATTCTGAGATAGGATCCCACTCTATCGCCAAAGTTCAGCATGCAGTGGTAGGATCACAGCTCACTGCAGCCTCAACCTCCCTGAACTCAGGTGATCCTCCCACCTCAGCCTCCAGAGGAGCTGGGACTACAGGCATGCACCACCACACCCAGCTAATTTTTTGTATGTTTTTGTAGAGACAGGTTTTTGCCATGTTGCCCAAGCTGGTCTCAAACTCATAGGCTCAGGCAATCCACCCCTCAGCTTCCTAAAATGCTGGGATTACAAGCGTGAGCCACCATGCCCTGCTTTTGTTGGGATTTTATATCAAAGTTAACCTGGCTTTACAAAAGGATTAAAGAAGTATCACCTTCCTCTAATTTCTGAGAGTCTATGTAAAATTGTATTTTTTTCTTCCTTCTTTAAATGGTTGATAAAATTTACTGCTATTATGGGCCTAGAGTTTTTTGTTAGAAAATTTTTTATTACAAATGTAATCTCTGTAGTAGATATGGAGTTCCTTAAGATTTTCTATTTCTTCTTGTGTCAGTTTTGGTAAACTGTGTCTTTTAAAGTATTTGTCAATTTCATCAAGTTGCTGAATTTGTCGATGAAGTTGTCCATACCCACTTTACTTTTAATATATGTAGGGTCTATACTGATGCCCTCTTTTCATTTGTGATGTTGATAATTTATGTTTTCACTTTTTTTCTTGGTGATATGGTTTGGATTTGCATCCCTGCCCAGATCTCATGTTGAATTGGGGGAGGGGTTTGGTGGGAGGTGACTGGATCACAGGGGCCGATTCTCCCCTTGCTGTTCTTGTGACAGTGAGTTCTCATGAGATCTGGTGGTTTAAACCTGTGTGGCACTTCCCCCCTCATTGTCATTCTCTCTCCTGCCACCATGTGAAAAAGGTGCTTGCTTCCCCTTCACCTTCTGCCATGATTGTAAGTTTACTGAGGCCTCCCAGTCATGCTTCCTGTTAAGCCTGTGGGCCTATGAGTCAATTAAACCTCTTTTCTTCATAAATTACCCAGTCTCAGGTGGTTCTTTACAACAGTGTGAGAACAAACTAATACACTTGGTAAGTCTTGCTCAGGGTTTATCAATTTATTTACCTTTTCAAAAGGCCAACTTTTCACTTTTAACATTTCTCCATTGTTTGTTTCCTATTTCATGAATTTCTTATTTTCTACTTATTTGGGGTTGAATTTGCTCCTCTTTTCTAACGCCTAAGGTGAAAAATAAATTTTATTGGCTCTACATATAGGATAAGGAGAAAACTATTATCTTAACAATCTCATTAAATAAGTGGAACTGTATGTACTGGCCTAAGGATTTTAACACATACCAAGTGATATTACAGACCTCTTTCCCAAACTCTGGATTTAAATATCCAACAGTCACCTCAACATCTTAAGTTAGCTGTGTCATAGATATCTCAAACTGAACATTTCCAAATTTAAACTCCTGAATGCCAGTCAGGAGTCCCCACAAACCAGCTCCCCCAAGAACATTCTCACCTCAGTTGATAGTAACTCCATCCTTCCAGTTTTTCAGGCCAAAAACTTTAGAGTCATTTCTTTCAAACACTAGATCTAATCTATCATAAAATTCTGTTGGTTCTATCTTTAAAATATATTGAGAATCTGCTCTATTTTACTTCTCACCGTTCTATCATTATTTTGGTCCGAGCTTCAGTAACTCCTTGTGACCCAGGCTGGAGTGCTGTGGCACGGTCTCAGCTCACTGCAACCTCCACCTCCCGGGTTCAAGTGGTTCTCCTGCCTCAACCTCCCCATTAGCTGGGATTACAGGCAACTGCCACCATGCCCGGCTAATTTTTTGTATTTTTAGTAGAGATGGGGTTTGACCATGTTGGCCAAGCTGGTCTTGAACTCCTGATCTCAGGTGATCCACCCACCTCAGCCTCCCAAAGTGCTAGGATTATAGGCTGAACCACTGTGCCTGGTCCAATACTTACTCAGTTCTAATGTGCTATATAATTTGCTTCTTTAATGTTTATTGTCTTTCTCTACTAAGATGTAAGCACCTCCTGGGCAGGGATCTTGTTTGGTTTGCTGATATAGCTCCTCTGCCTAGAATGCCTGAACTATTATCGGGAATCGATACACATCTGTTAAATGAATGACACCAGTAGTCTGGAAACTCTGCAGAAGTGTAATGAATACAAAATGTGTTATTGTAGCTGAAAACTTATTCTCATTCCTTCTCTATTACAGAAGCCTTCTCTGAAAGTGGTATAATTGACTTAGGCATCCTTTTCTCAAGCCTTTTCTAGAAAAAAATATATTTTTTATAAGATTTATTATAAGTTCATCACCAATTCAGAACCCATGTTCTGAAGACTGGAGGAGGCAAAGAATATTTTTTTGTTATATAGTTCATAGTTGTCAATGTCCTGACAACAGGCACAATGATGATGATCATAACAACCGTGAAAAAAAAAATCTAAAAAACACTTTTCGTGTTTTGAGACTTAAATGAGAAAGTCATTTAATAACATGAAATTTTTGTAAAACATATAAACAGAACAAAAACAAGTTACTATAGGAAATGAAGAGCAGTAAGGCCCTTCTCAATGAGTGGAATGATTTCCTACAATGAAAGTGAAGATCTACATGCCTCACTGACAAATATCATCAGTATACATGGGAACTGTCAACAGAGAATTTCTTCCCCACAAACGGACTGTTGGATATAAAACATTTTAAAAGTCAAATCTGTTCACACATTAAAACAAAATAATAGTATTACAGACCAGTTATTCTCAATGTCAGGAATGTTTTCTGTTTTCTGTTCTTTAAGAGCAGACAGAAGAGAATCTTAGTGTGAGGGCATTGTTTTAAAAAGTGGGGTGATTCTGATGCCAACATACACACATACACACACACATACTACCATTTCTTTCTAACTTCTACTAGGGTTCACCAACTCTTGCTAGATTAAGCTTTTATGAAATGGAATGGAAGCTGGTGGCATACAAACTCCTAAGTTGTTACTACTTTAAAAAGAAGAAAAAGAGAAACCAGCTACCAAAATTTTTAAAATGGCTTAAATGAACTTGAGATACCTCCCTGTCCTGTTTTTTCCCCATCAGTTTAACTTTAAGAACAAACTGTCTTGTTTTCTTTGGCCTAGTTGCAGCTCACACAGCTGAAATTATTTACTTTGAAATATTTTGTTTTGGCTTCAAAAAATAAGGAAAAAATGATTGTTCCCAGTTACAGCCATTTTACACAGAACATGGAGAAAACACAAGGAAATCTATGCATAACTCTCAAATGTATGGCCTAACAAAATTAACATTAACGGACTCTTCACAACTAAGTACACTTATAAGTCATAAAAGATTAAATCAAATATATTCTGCCACTTGGCAAAACTATAATTATTTCTCCTATTTCCACAGTATCATCAATTGACTGAAGACAAACATATTCTGCCACTTGGCAAAACTACAATTATTTCTCCTATTTGCACAGTATCATGAACTGACTGAAGACTCAAGGAAAGACAATTAACTGTCCTCCTTCATGGGGGTTCTAAAGTATGTTCTGCAGATTCTCTACCTAGTGAAGGGCTGTAATCAATATCGAGAGACTTAGGACTTAATTTTATAGTACGAAACTATGAAAGAGTATCTCTTTGTTATGGTGCTGAAGGCACGGAACCTCTGTTGCTTGAAAGTACAATAAACCTGGAGCCTGAAAGTGATTCGACATTAAATCTGACACCTGTGTCAATGCTCAAGCATGCCGGGCACAGCTTGATACTGCTATTACAAAGCCAAAGCAAGGCAGCAGCTAACACGGAAAGAGACCTAAGGGTCAGAACTACATATAATCAGCACAAATTCTGTGAGTGGAAGGCAAATGCACTGCAGTTCAGATATTGCTAGATGAACAAGGACAGCTGGCAAAAGGAAAAAATGACAAAAAGAATCTCAGATATTAGCGGAAAGACAGCGTATGAAACCACAAAAATCACTGCAGGCATATTCACACACCATGGATAAGCAAACATGTTCTTAAGGATATAAAATCTTTAGAAACAGTTGTTTCTATCCCAATGCTATGTAACAAAAAACTGAAAAGTAATTATTGGCTAACTGATTTCTCAATCTTAGCAACTAGGAATGAATGAAATTAGTAGCCTATAGACAAACTATACTGCTACAACATTCACATAACTAAATATTAAGGCACCAAGGATTCTAACTCCCACCAATCTCTCTTCATTTTCTTCCTAAGCAACAGGGGATTTTTCTTTCCTCTCTTGGGGGATCTAAACTATCAACAGAAAAGTTTATATTGAACCATTATGTAATCCTTAAGTAAAATAATCATGGGACTATGGACAAAGTAAAAATTTCTATTTGCTTTCCAAAACACAAAACTAAGTTAAAACTTTATACCCGATAATCCTTTTCTGAATGGACCAAGGGTTTTTGGTGACTTGAATCTTATCACATGAAAACATGCCTATTCAATTTTTATTTCACCGGCTCTGTGACATTTTAAAGATTATTGATGTCATCATATTTTCTTCATTTTCCTTTACACACTCAAGAGCAAAATCATTAAATATGTTAGGAAGACATTTAAAAATGCAACTTCTGAAATTTATTACCACCTTTCTTTACCTCTTTTGTCTCTTCTGGGTCTGAATGATCCACAGTTATATAAAGATCATTTTGCAAATATTTCAGAGCACTAAGGGGATCCATTTGGGCCTTTTCTTCAAACCTAGAAAATGTAAACAAGAATAATTATCTGGAGTTATGACAAAGTATCAGAAATGTCTTTCAGACCTGGAATAAAATACACTGTTACAATGTGTATGAGTTGTTCTAGATATCTAGAAAATGTCAGTTTAGGAATCCAGAAGTAACAATACTGCCATGTAGACAGTGTAGGGGTGGAGTTCTTGGAAATGTAATGGTAATGCCAGGTGGTCACAGGCAGCTGTGGTGCTAGAGACTGGGTAGGAGCATTTCCTACTCTTCTCTTAAAACTACAAGGTAGGACTAAACCAACTACCAAACAAAGTGAATATGCTACATATTTTATAAAACAGAACTTCAAAAAATCCCAATGTGCTTCATCCAAAACGAGTAGACATAAAAATAAAAACACTTGCTTAGATTTGTATGTTTTCTAATGGAGATGCTTAACAGACACCTTGGAAACTGAAATAAGCAGGGTATCTTTAAATGAGTATCATTAACACTGATTACTTTTAATGAGATTATGTCCATGTCTCAGTCAGTAAAAACAACTGCAGCAACCACTTCTCAAGCATTTGTAATATGCTAGACATTGTATTGAGTATTTTACATGTACCACTTCATCTATCCTCACAATAATGCTATGATGATGATCTATTTTATCACCGTTTATCACAAAAAACATGAAAATAGGGTGCTGTGGCTCATGCCTGTAATCCCAACACTTTGCGAGGTCAAGGTGGGTGGACGGCTTGAGCCCAGGAGTTTGAAATCAGCTTGGCCATCATGGCAAAACCCCATCTCTACAAAAATCAGCCAGGTGTGATGGCACGTGCCTACAGTCCCAGCTACGCGAGAGTCTAAGGTGGGAGGATTGCTTGAGCCTGGGGGTGCAGTTAGCCATGATCGTACCACTGCACTCCAGCCTGGATGACAGAGTGAGATCCTGTCTCAAAAAAAAAACAAAACAAAAAAACCCCAAAATGAAAAACTGAGGTGCAGAGAATGAATCTGGATGAGCTCTCCTAAACAACAAAAAACTGTATGTATCTATATATCTATTTGAAAAAGATAACATCTCTGTTATATCATAATTACATATAGATTTATTTCTAATAAGTTGGTATGCTTTTCAAAATATACAGACAAGGAAAAGAGGAATTTCCTTTGAGTAGGAATGGCTATGAAGAGCCTTTCACGATGGCATTCAGGTTGATGGCATCCTCGGTGATAGGGTATCTGTACTTCAGGCAGGGGCAAAGACTAGCAAAATATTACAGCTCTCTTGTACCAGGCAGTACCGTAAGAGTGACAGCCAGGCTTACAGCCTTCAGATGAGAGTCCTTTAGGTAAAGACCATGTTACTCTACCATCTTGTCCACAACAGATTAGATTAGACCAAGGTTTTGGTACCCACGCTTTGATTAGCAGTTTATAAAGTGGTTTGGCAGAATTCTTCCTAATAGGGACACTCTCCCCAGGAAATGCTTTCTAAGAAGATTCTTTCTCTTGGATAATCTGAATGTGAGACATATAAGGACATGTAAAGAGCAGACAGAAATAGAGAAGGCAGTAAACAGAAGCCATGAGATGGCAGATTCTGTCCATCCGTCCATCTACCTATCTATCTATCTATCTGTCTATGCTTCTATCTATGCCTCTATCTATCTATCTATGCCTCTATCTATCTATCTATCTATCTATCTATCTATCTATCTATCTATCTATCTATCTACCTACCTATCTACCTACCTATCTATCCATCCATCTATCTATGCCTCTATCTATCTATCTATCTATCTATCTATCTATCTATCTATCTATCTATCTATCTATCTATCTACCTATCCATCTATCTATCTATGCATCTATCTATCTATCTATCTATCTATCTATCTATCTATCTATCTAGGCCACGAGGTTGGGAGAAAGTCAGCAGTAGTCAGTAGAACAGGACAAGCAGATGGAGAAAGAAGCAGACAGAAGTACAAGGAAAAGCTACAGTAGCACCCAGCTACTAGAATTGTTCCAGTATCCTAAACAATTCTCCATCCAGTTTCACTGTTCAAATGCTGACAAGGTGCCTTAATTCCCTGAATAATCTAATAATAAATTCTTTTTCAGCTGAGGTATCCAAAGCATGGCATTATTCTTTACAACCTGAAATAACCTAACCAACACACACATACAATCCCATATCCAGTAAAGAGATCAGCTTCCTGAAAGTTATGTTTTCCACCTTCATTTTCTGAGCTATTTTTGGCTAGCAAGAACTTATCACAGACTTGTGTCTGTAGCCTAGAATCGTATTTTAATCAACAGTTCTGCCCTGTTTCTAAGTGAACAGAAATTAATCCTATCACAATTTTTTTTGCCCATTTCTACCCACAAATCATCATCAAGTTTGGAAACCTGAATGTCATATGAAAAAATAATAGTGGTATTTTATTTATTACATCACATGACATCAGTAAGAACAAGGAGATACTTCCTTGGCACACAATATACTTCTTTCTCTCCTTCTAAATTTATATTCTAACTAAACAGAAAAATTGTTTTCCATTAAGAACAACAACAAAAATAAGCCAGTCTAGCAGTTAGTACAAGCTCCCATATTAAAAAAAGAAATCTGCATAACATTTGAAAAAGGCAATTTTTGTGTTCTACCCAATTCATAGACACAAACTTCTATCTATTCTGTCTATAATGTAGCGATGTCCCTCAAATTCTTGAATTTACCTAACAGCTTGGTAGAGAAAAAGGTCTAAAATAAGCCTTTTATTGTCAGTTTGAATTGGCAGTTGACAAGATTCTCAAGATGCCCTGAGTCATCCTTGACTGCTCTCTTTCTCTCATACCCATATCAAATCCATCAGGAAATTCTATTGGCACAATCTCCAAAGCTTATCCAGAATGTTAAGGTGCCTTCTTGATCTCTTGTGGAATGTCTCTTCCTCTGCCTGTCCTTCAAATGGTGGTGGTCCTCAGAGAATACCCAGCAACCCTTCACTCTTCTTGCTCACCCCGAGCAAGCTCCTTCTCCCTGTGACTCACAACTGTAATGTCAGGCCAAGTCTTTTCACCAAATGTTCAGATGGCCTCCACTTGCATGTCTTACAGACTTCTCAAACCTAAAGTGCCCCAAACTGAAATAATCTTTTCCAACACATAAACCTGTTGTTTCTGAAGACTTCCCCACCCGAGGGAAAGCAGCCATGAGTTTTACCCAGTTCTTCTGGAAGAAAATACAGAATGATTTTTATAAAATATAAGCCTGAATGTGTTACTCCCCTACTTAAAATCTTTCAATCTCCCCTAAGAGTAAAAGCTGAAGGCCCCTTACAAGCTGTCCCTTTCCTAGTCCCTTCAACCTCATTTCTTATCACAATCACCTCACTCATTCCACTTCCACCACGCTTCTTCTCAATTCACTCCTCAAATTATTCAGGCATTTTTTTAACCTCAGAGCCTTGACTATTACCTGTCTAGAACACTCCCCACCCCACCAGAGAGCTACATGATTCAGTCCCTCTTGTCCCTTAAGTTTCTATTCAAATGCCATCTTCACTATGCAGTCTATCCTGGTATTATTGAAAACTACATTCCCACCTCCCTCACCTGTATAAACAATAACTCAATCTGTTTCTTTTCATAGTACTTACCATCTAACATGTAATATAAATTCCTTATTATGTTTACTGTTAGTCTGCCTTCTTAAGAATAGAAACTTGAGGGCAGAGTTTTGTTCATTTTCTTCATTGATACATATGTATATATGACAGTTAAGCGGTGAGCTCTGGAATCAGAATGCTCAGGCTCAAGTCCTGGCTCTGCCACATAATAATATACAGGGTCTAGCATAAAGTAATTGCCAGGCTGGTCTTGAACTCCTGGCTTTAGGCAATCCTCTTACCTCTGCCTCCCAAAGTGCTGGGATTATAAGCATGAGCCACTGCACCTGACCCTAAAGCAAATTTTTATTACCATGTAACACTACAGTAACCAAAAGGACAGAAACCCTTTTCTGCTTTTTTTAGTAATTTATTACCTTCTAGGCTAAAAAGCAAACATGACTTAGGGTGGGGGAGGGTGTGTGTGTGTGAATGTATATGTATATATGAAAATGCTTGATTAAATGATTTTGCAATTAAATAATAAAGGTGATATAAAGCCACAAGCCTATTTTGAAATTGTATTGTGAAACACCAAATTAGGAAGATATAGTATAGTCAACTATATCATCACACTCACTGTTAAGAGAGTTATCAAGAGCTCAGGCACGTGCCATTAAGCTAGAACTGATCTAATTTGTAGTTAGCTTTGAGTTACTTTGATGTAGGCATGTCACCTTTACAGAAATTATTTTCCATTTTTTAACAGTTGCAAAATTTCACTTGTTCTGTTTTTATAAATTTTTAGCATCAATATCTGTATTTTGTATCTTCCTTTGAAAAAGGAAAGCAAAAATAAGTAGAACAGGGCATTTACAAAATTCATGATCTTCGTAGTATTTACAGTGTCATTATTAAATGTGCCAAGAGAAAGTTCTATCTCCAAAGCTAGGTAATACCAACAACAGCTGATAATGTTAATTAAATGTTTTCAGTGAATTATTTTCATACCTGTGTTTTCTTATGAGGTACTTGCAATGCCTCAGTAAATAATCTTTTGAAGGTCTACACAACTTCAGTGACCAGAAGTCATCTAATCTCATCTTTGGAGAGCAAGATTTCCCTGGATTCCCACCAAATAAATAATGAACCTATAATAAGCAAAATAAGCCAGACTTTAAAAAATGCATGCATACCCAAGATATTTTAGTAGCAGTGCATAATAGGTTAACTTACTGAGCCTATTTAAATAAAAAATTAAAAATTATATTGCATTTTTACCAAAATCTTCTCTCGATTTTTCTCGTTTCTATTTTACTTTAAAGCACCATGGCTACTTAAAAAAACTGCATGTATGCTAAAATGAGTTACGTTACTACAATTACAATGATAGTGGAAGGCATGAAACAAAAACAATGATAGGAAGAAGCTAATCCATGATATTATTTGCTGAGGACAACAAATAATGGGGATAAAATTAATCAACATATTGATCATATAACAAATATCTTAAAAATTCTGACATAAATGCTCAATCACTAAAAGTTAACAGTCAAGTCAACAGGTCAACTAGAAACTTTAAAAAATTTTAACATCTTAATTTTGCTTTAACTGAAATGCCAAATATTAAATGGCACATATAATTTGTGAAATAACATTAAAAAATTATTCCATAATTCAATACCAAAAATGAAATGCAAAAGGAATTTATGATTTCACTATTAATCAGAGTTATCTGTTCCTCAGATAACTTTGGAAGATAAAACAGTGAAGAAACAGAATCACTTTCATAAGTGGTAGAAGTGAGAGTATAACTGCCTAAATTTATTGCATTGAATGTTTTTCTGTACTTATGCAAAAGCATTTAAATATTTAAATATTTTAATTACAATTAGTGTATAAATTTATTAAATTAAAATATTTCCTAAAATGTTAAAAACATTTATATTCATTGGTGTTTATATAATAGAGTAATTATCCCTATCCTATAGATGGAAATTCATTTACTCCTTAAATTGAGAGGTTATAAAAGAAAGGGCTTTTACTCACTCCCATGGTAGCTTTTACCTAAAGGTCTCAAAGTATATCATGTAGAATTTAAATAATCATCCGTGGCTTAACAGAAAGAATTGGTCTCTGTCAGTAATTTACTATATAATCTAAGTCCGATCACTAAAGTACATGGTTAAGTTTAAGGGAGAAATAAAGAAATAACTCTCAACACTATGACACTAAAAATTCACAACACAAGACCATTTCACAAGGCTGATTTAAAAGATATATCACTAGTATATCAGGAAAATTAAGATAAAAAGACTTCTTACACAATGGGAAAATCTAAAACCAAAAACCATGTTATATCACAGAACAAGGTACCTGAATGCTGACAACTGTACATCTTTTACTTGGATATTCACATTGTAGAAACAATAGGCTATGTCATATCTCTAGAGCTATACAGCTAAAAAGCTGCCACTAACTATTTCCAAAAAAGGAAAAGTACCAAGAATTATAGACTATGTAAAAATGCTTATTCTCTTAAGGAATTTTAGGGAGAAGTGATATTGAGTGTTTAATATTCTATTGAATGTCTACTATGTATTTTAACTTTTTACTCAAATCCAATTTAAAACAATCAGAAAGACATATTTGGGGATTAATTCAGACAGTTGGCCATGGAAAGTTTACAGGTCAATGTAGTTAGGATACCTTGTGTAGCTCATCGTATACAAGCTGATGGGCAAACCTTGGACATGGTTCTTCTTCCTGAAGACTTTTAGTTGGATTATCCTTTGCAGCTTGATCATTCTTATAGACACAAGACCTGCAAGACACTGCTTTTAAGGCATTCTACCTTAGAGAATTAGCAGCAAAGATAATACAACTGTAGCAAGTAAATTAATTGCATGTCTAACTACTAACAAAAAATTCTAGAAATATGTTCACATCAAATATTAAAGTTCTAGTTACTCAGGCTGGGCGTGGTGGCTCACGCCTGTAATCCCAGCACTTTGGGAGGCTGAGGTGGGTGGATCACAAGGTCAGGGCTTTGAGACCAGCCTGACCAACATGGTGAAACCCCATCTCCACTAAAAATACAAAAATTAGCTGGGCGTGGTGGCGGGCGCCTATAATCCCAGCTACTCAGGAGGCTGAGGCAGGAGAATTGCTTGAACCCGGGAGGCGGAGGTTGCAGTGAGCCGAGATTGCGCCACTGCACTCCAGTCTGGGCGACAAAGCAAGACTCCATCTCAAAAAAAAAAAAAAAGGTTCTAGTTATTCATAAAACACTCTGAATTTGTTAGAACTGAGTTCTGAAGTTCTTTTCATGTCCATTAAATAGCTCACGTATCCTACTTTTTGTTATGAAATACAAACAGCATACATGAAAGCTCAAACTAAAGAGACGCTATCTTATGTATGTACAATAAAAAGATGTACAGTATACACTGCTGTCATTTGACTGTAAATAAATGTCCTATTTAGAAAATAATAAATTCCTTAGCTGCAGAGCACTACTCTCCATTATGAAAGGAGAAGTTCTCTGAAGTGCTTCTGTTCTGCACAATATTCACTTATGGAGCAATCCCAGAATGTCAGAGCTGGATCCCTGTTTTCCCAAAGCAAAATGTGCAGCACCAGTTCTGTGGGATGCTCTATGACACAAAAGTCATGGTTTGGAAATGCTAAGTAATACTGTCCCCTCCCTGCTATAGTCAAGCCTCTTAGTTTTATGAAAACTAAGATCTGGGAACATTAAAAAAAAAAAAGCATTGTTCTCAAGTTCACACAGAACTAGACTAGAAGAGAACAGAACCTAGACTAAAATACAGTTCTCTTGAGTCCCAGACCAGGAACCATCTACTACTTGAAAAACACAGAGGTAAAATCCATTCACTGAACATCATTGTATACACAGGTACTGATACTAATTTTTTGTATTGACTTTTAAATGTACAATGTCACAAATTAACATAAGACTCTTTTTTCTTTTGAATAAACCAACAACCTCAAATAACTGCTACATTGGGATTGCAGCAGATACAAGAGTTCCTTACCAACTATTCCTCACAATGTCATAAATCCAGAATGAATTTCTAACATTTTCTTCCCTCTTTTCCTTATCTTTGCTGAGTCCAGATAAGACATGTATTTCATTCAGTTCTGGATCAATAGTTGCTCTCTGTGTAAATCCTGTCATTGGAACTACAAATTAAAGAAAAAAACAGATGAAAATACTCACTTTAGATAGTTTAGTATTTACTTTCTTAATTCTTTCTTTCTTTGTTTATTTTTATTTATTTATTTATTTTGAGACGGAGTTTCACTCTTGTTGCCCAAGCTGGAGGGCAATGGCGCCATCTCGGCTCACTGCAACCTCTGTCTCCCGGGTTCTCCTGCCTCAGCCTCCCGAGTAGCTGGAACTACAGGCATGCACCACCACGGCTGGCTAATTTTGGATTTTTAGTAGCGATGGGGTATCTCTATGTTGGTCAGGCTGGTCTCGAACTCCCGACCTCTGGTGATCTGCCTGCCTCGGCCTCTCAAAGTACTGGGATTATAGGCGTGAGCCACTGTGCCTGGTCTATTTTTTTTTTAAGAGACAGAGTTTCACTCTAATGCCCAAGCTGAAGTACACTGGCACAACCATGACTCATTGCAGGCTAGAACTCCTGGGCTCAAAGGATCCTCCTGCCTCAGCCTCCCAAGTAGCTGGGACTACAGGCATGCACCACCACACCCAGCTAATTTTTGGATTTTTTATAGAGATGGGGTCTTGCTACGTTGCCCAGGCTGGTCTCAAACTCCTGGCCTTAAGCAATATTCCTGCCTCATCCTCCCAAAATGCTGGTGTTACAGGCATAAGCCACCACACCCCGCTCCTACTAGTTTCTCTTGAAAATATCAATACACCTTTATTCTGCTCTATGTGTCCACATACTTAACTTCTAACACACTACATAACTTTTTAATTAAACAATAAACAATTATATATTGCCTTCTCCTTACTCTATGAGCTCCACAAGCAAAGAGGCTGTTTTGCTCACTATTTCGTTCCCAGTATCTAGAAAAGTGCCTGGAATATAACAATTACTAAATGATTTGTGGAAAGACTAAAGGAATGTCAATTGCCAGCTACAGGGAAAAAAGAAGCAGAAAGAGGTATGCAATATAATCATTTTTACATAAGGAAGGAAAGGATATACTTTAATTAACTGATTTATTATCTGGGACAGTTCTAATTTGATAGTAGAGATTAAATATTTAAATCTTGACCTGGGAAAAAAATTTGACAAAAGGTAAAGCACAGAGTTGCTTAATAAGGTCAGAGTCATTGAAAATATCTGTTCATAACATACAATAACTTCCAAAAAATAAAATTTAATATTCTGGGCCAGGTACAGTGGCTCATGCATGCAATATCAGTGCTTTGGGAGGCCAAAGTGGGAGGATCACATGAGGCCATGAGCTCAAGACCAGACTAGGTAACACAATGAGACCTTGTCTCTATAAAAATTAAAAATTAGCCAAGTGTGGTGGTGTGCACATGTAGTCCTAGCTATCTGGGAGGCTGAGGTGGGAGGATCCCTTGAGCCCAGAGTTGGAAATTGCAGTGAGCTATTATCGTGCCATTGGACTCTAGCCTGGGTGACAGAGTAAGACTCTGCCTCTAAAGCAAATAAATAAATAAATAAATATTCTGGGGTATAATATGCCATTTTGTTTTCCTGAGTGGCTTAAACTCCCCAAAGTTAATAATGCTGTATTTTTCTAAGAAACCTATTAAATAAATGATCATTCTGCATTATCCAATAATCTGTAAAACACTGATATGGCATATGCCAAATTTTCTTATTTTTATTTGAAAATATTATTTGAAATACAATTCCATATATGTAAAGTGCATATTATGAACTCAGCTACTTCACAAATAATTGTCATGATCTAAAACAATGTCATTGTTTTAACATTTCTTTTACCCATGAACAATTATCATATGCTCAAAAAGCTAAACAAATATCAGACCGAAGTGAAATATTTATGTCAACCTAGAATACTATGTATGGCAGGAGATGCCAGCCATATTGATCTTGGTCTTCTTTATCTGCTTTAGTGGGACCAAATAATCCAGTATTTATTTTTTCCCAATCTACCTTAAATTCATGTGTCATTTTACATTCTTATTTGATAAATTTGGGACATTTTAAGGACTATCCAAATGCATTCCACAGTAACTATATTATAAAATTACACACACACACACAACATATAATTTGTATACATACATACACGACATTTATATGTATACACAAACATATATCAACCTGATCTTAATAACAGCCTACGCCCTCATGCCACAGTCTTTTGTGTATGTAAAGTCTGGTACAGTCGAACGTCCATATCCCTGGGTTCTGTGTTCAAGGATTCAAACCACTACAAATTTAAAATATTTAAAAAAAAAAAACCCAAACAAAAAACAAAACCTATAAATGGCTGCATCTGTATTGAAGATATACACACTTTTTTCTTGTCATTATTCCTTATGACAACTATTTACATAGCATTTACACTGTATCAGGTATTATAAGTAACCTAGAAATGACTTAAAGTATAGGAGGGGATGTGCATAGGTTACACCATATCACGGACTTGAGCATCTGAGGATTTTGGTATCCAAGGGAGGTCCTGGAACCAGTCCCTCAAGGATGCCACGGGACAACTGCCTTTTCTTTTTTTTTTTTTTTTTTTTTGAGACAGAGTCTTGCTCTGTCGCCCAGGCTGGAGTGCAGTGGCGCAATCTCGGCTCACTGCAAGCTCCGCCTCCCAGGTTTCACGCCATTCTCCTGCCTCAGCCTCCTGAGTAGCTGGGACTACAGGCGCCCGCCACCGCGCCCGGCTAATTTTTTGTATTTTTAGTAGAAATGGGGTTTCACCGTGGTCTCGATCTCCTGACCTTGTGATCCGCCCGCCTCGGCCTCCCAAAGTGCTGGGATTACAGGCGTGAGCCACCGCGCCCGGCACAACTGCCTTTTCTTAATAAGGCATGGTAAACTTTCAGAGGCGATGTGCTCAGGTTCTGACCTCTATTCCTCAGATAACTTTGGAAGATAAAACAGTGAAGAACTGGAATTACTTTCATAAGTGGTAGAAGTGAAGAGTATAACTGCCTAAATTTATTGCACTTAAATTTCTTTAGATAACTTTGGAAGATAAAACAGTGTAGAACTGGAATTACTTTCATAAGTGGTAGAAGTGAAGGATATAACTGCCTAAATTTATTGTATTTAAATTTCTTTATTCTATTTTGTCTTAATAGTGAGTCTTTGAATTAAAAATTTAATAACATGGCTTGGCAAACTACGGCTTGATGTGGCCTGCTCAGGGTAAAATCAGGCAATGTCCATTCATTTACATGTTGTCTACAGCTGTTTTCACCTACAATAATCACCAGAGCCTATAACTCACCAGAGATAAAAGATGGAAAACTTCCAAATAAGTCATCGAATACAAAGAGGAGAAGTAGATTGTGAGGAAGACTTCCGTGGAGAGCTTCTAATAAGGACATAGGGGCCTGAATAAGAATGACAGCAGAGCTTAAAGTAACTCCTAATCTTTACTTTGTTAATCATACAGGTTCCCAACTGTGTGCCTATTCTCAGCTTATGCATTCTGTAAGAAAGCTTGATTGACAGTATGTGCTGCGCACTTGTACAAGACCTTGATCAGTGTCTCATTTATGAGAGAAGCCTACTGGAAAAAGAGACCTATACATTGTAAAAGAAACCACTGTTAACTATCTTTCTTAATTGATACAGTCCTTTATTCATAAATGTTAAAGTTTAGACATGAATTATAGACATACGAGGAAAAAAATCAACAGTGCAAAAGAGAGGGACCTAGATGAACAAATAGAACAACTGGGAAAAGACAAATCACAGAAAAGAAAATAACTCGGGGGCGGGGGGGGAACCCATCAATATCCTTGAAGAGATTAAAGAGAATATTCCATGTGCAAAACAAGAATAAGCTCCCATAAAAAGGAGCAGGGACTATGAAAAGATACTAAAAAGTAAAACTATGACCAAAAACTTCAAACGACAGAATGAAAATACAGACATAGTTAGAAACAAAGTCAGTGGTCTCTAGATAAAACTGATAAATCACCAGAATAAAGAGCAAAAAGATAGAAATGATGAGGGAAAAGTTAAAGGACACAGAGGATATATCCATCGAAGTCAAATTATCTGAAAAAAAGACTAGAAGGAAAGAAGAAATAATGTAGAAGAAAAAATAAGTTTCCCTGAACTGGGTGTCTGGTTTGAAAGAGCCCACTGCAAGCTAGGCATGTTTAATTTAAAAAGATGGTGCACACATACATCTATATCTATGTTTAATTTTTAAAAAAAGATGATATACAGATGTACATATCTACCTTAATACGAAACGTTAAAACTCCAGGAAAAGAAATATTCTAAAAGCTTCCAAAGAAGGAAAGAGCAGATTACTATATACAGAGGAATAAAAATCAAACTAACATGAGACCTTGTCAGGGGCTCAGAACACAATACACTCCGGCATGCTAAGTACTTTGAACTAAAGGACACTGGAAGGCCTCAGAACAGCTTCAGTACCAAGTTCTCTCTCACTTCTTTTGCCCTTCTGCCTCTCTTCCCTCATTCTCCCTAGAAGTGAGTCATCAAATCAGAATTCCTCTTCCCCAAGGCGGGTCATAAAAACTAGAACCTCTTTTTCCCAAAGTCAGCCTAGACTTTCAAATTCTAAAAACTTGAATTACTGATCCAACTTTCCTCTGCCTTTCTGTCTAGGAGCTGGCCATAAAGAAATTCTGTGACCCACCCTTGTCTGATGGTAGGTCCTAAGACCCTTCTCTAGCAGGGTCCTGCCCCATACCCAGGAGGAAGAAATGCTACACAGAGGGGCCAAGAAGAATCCGAACAGACAGGCCTTGATGGGTTTCCCCACCTCAGTCTATCTGCATTAAATCATAGCCATTTACCAAATCACATTGCTAACCAGCTGTTCATTCTTCATTAAATCTTAGCATAAAAATGGACAGTTTTCCCTGTATCTTTGGGTCATTTCTTCTGAAGGCTCACACGCCACATGAAACTTTGATTAAATCAATTTGTTATGCTTTCTCGTTAACCTGTCTTTTATTATAGGCATGTCAACCATGACTCTTACAAGGGTTGAGGAAAAGTATCACAACTCTTTTGGCCCCTACAACTTATCAGTAACAATGAATGCTAGAATACAATGGAAAAACAACTTTAAAATTCTGAGAAATATAAAAAGATACAGAACCAACCTTCCATTTCCAGTTAAACTAGCAATCTTAACAAGGGCAAAATAAGGGAATTTAAGTTCATACATATGACTAGATATATACAAAAAACAAAACAAAACAAAACAAAAACAAAAAAACTTCTTTAAGGAGATACTCCAACAAAACAAAAAAAGGAATCCAAGAAAGAAGATGACATGAGATATAAGAGACGGTGGAACTGATATATGACACGGGAAAGGAAAGTTAGAAAGAAAATCAAGATCCATTAACTCTTGAGCCTTGTATATGACATTTTAGTGTTAACAATATAGAAGAGTTTCTTCTCCGTATTCTAATCACAATACCTGAATTTATATAGTGTCCCATTTTCCCCTTCCGCCATGGTTCCATGACCTAGAATATTGGTCCTAGTGTTTTTCTTCAGGCAACAAAAAATTTTGATCACCATTTATCACATACTTCTAGCATTTCCTAGATTCAGTTTTCACTGAGTCCTGCTCCCAGATGAGTTTCTATTGTGGGTCTCTATATGGCAAATGTGCTAAGGTAAATATGCCTGAGAATATTTTATGTCACCCTCACATCTCAAAGTTAGGAAGATTTAAATTTCTTGGTTCAAAGTTGTTTTTCTTGGCTGCTTTTAAACTTTATCCTTTTTTCTCATTCCACATTGCTGTTCAACTGTCACACGTCTATGTTCTTGTTCCCTTATAGGTCATCTGCTTTTTCTCTCTGAAATCTTTCAGCATTTTCTCTCTGCTAATCTTAATTCTACTTTAATCTGCTTACGTATGTGCTTTCCCTTATTTGTTCTATTTGGTACACTATGAGCTCTTTTGCCTATCTGAAGTCTTTCATCATTTTTGAATTTTAGGAAATGTATCTCCATTATTTCTACAATTATTTCACCTACTTTTTTTTGGAGACAGAGTTTCACTCTTGTTGCCCAGGCTGGAGTGCAGTGGCACAATCTCAGCTCACTGCAACCTCCGCCCGTGGGTTTAAGTGATTCTCCTACCTCAGCCTCCCAAGTAGCTGGGATTACAGGCATGCACCACCAAGCCTGGCTAATTTTTGCATTTTTAGTAGAGACAGTGTTTCAATATGTTGGTCAGGCTGATCTTGAACTCCTGACCTCAGGTGATCCACCCATCTTGGCCTCCCAAAGTGCTGGGATTACAGGTGTGAGCCCCTGTGCCTGGGCTTAAATTTTTATTTTTCTTTTCTTCTGGAATTCCTTTTAAGATGTTGGTACTTGTACAATTCTCTATCTTTCTTAGTTTTTCTATTCTATTTTCTATTTCTTTATCTTTTTTCCCTGCTTTTTCCTGGGAGAGTGCTCTAATCTTCCAATTGATTAATTCATTCATACCATCCTACTTATATTTATTGTAGTCTTCATTTTAATTATATTTTTCATATCTACTATTTCCATATGGTTCTGTTTTTATAATGTTTGGATCTTATTTCATATTACTAGTGTGTTCCCTTACATCTTTAAGTATATTCATCATGCTTATTTTAAATTCTTGGTTCACCTGTTGTTGTTGGTTTTTTTTTGAGATGGAGTTTTGCTCTTGTTGCCCAGGCTGGAGTACAATGACACAGTCTCAGCTGACTGCAACTCCCGCCTCCTGGGTTCTGGGTTCAAGCGATTCTCCTGTCTCAGCCTCCCGAGTGGCTGGGGACTACAGGCACATGCCACTGCGCCTGGCTAATTTTGTATTTTTAGTAGAGACGGGGTTTCTCTATGTTGGTCAGGCTGGTCTCAAACTCCTGACCTCAGGTGATCCACCTGCCTCGGCCTCCAAAAGTGCCGGGATTGCAGGCATTAGCCACCATGCCTGGCCATTCATCTGTTTTAATAATTCTGCTTTACATCATGTATGTCCTTTTTGTTTTTTAAGACAGTTGTAGTCCTCAACTGTCTAGTTATGTCAGCATGCAAGGTAATGTTTTTCAGGGAATCAGCTCTTCTTTCCGATAAGATATACTAGACAGGACTCAAAGGCCAGGCCTTAACTGGCATCAGTACTGGTAGAGATTAAGGAAAATAGAGAGGAAAAGTCGTAGGGTTGTGAACCATAGGCACAAAGAATAAGAATCATTTCCATATATGATCACACCCCTATGCAACAGTTTCGTACCTTTAAACCCTTCAGAGGAAGTAGAAGGCAGTCTCCCTGGACAAAGGGAGAAGAGAAGAAGAAATGAACTATTGAGAACAGATGGTCAGTCCACATGTTTTCATCAACTTTGAACTCCAGCAGGGTTTCTGCACTGCCATAATGTTTGCCCACTGAATTCTGACACTAGTGGGATAGGCTACCGCTGCTAGTTTCTATAGTGAAAGGGTAAAAATTAACTGAAGGTTGATCTGGGGGAGAGAGAGCCTTCAGTCTCATTTAAGGAGTTTCTGGAATCCACCTGCTCTCAATTTTATTTCTCTGGGGTTGATTCTGGGGAAGGGAATCAGCAGCCTGTGTCAGTTTGCTACTTTGGCAGAAGTACTTTTCATTTTATAGCATTCTATGTTATTTGAGTTTTGCTTTACTGATCATGTGAATTCCATTACTTTTATAATAATTATAATAAAAAAAATGAAAGCTGGTTAAATAAAAATGGCAGTATCAGAAAACAAAAAGACCTAAAGGCCAAAACCAAGAAAGCAGCTTTCATTCTAATATGGCAAAACTATTAATACAGTTTTCTGTACTGATTTTCCTTGCAAGATGAAAACAAGGCTATCTTTTCCATTTTTAACAGTTTCTTTTCTTTTTCTTTCTTTCTTTTTTTTTTTTTTGAGGCAGGGTCTCACTCTGTCACTCAGGCTGGAATGCAATAATGTGAATTCAGTTCACTGCAACTTCTGCCTCCCAGGTTCCAGCAATTCTTCTGCCTCAGTCTCCTGAGTAGGTAAGACAATGGCCATGCATCACCATGCCAGGCTAACTTTTGTATTTTTAGTAGAGCTGGGGTTTCACTATGTTGGCCAGGCTGATCTTGAACTCCTAACCTCAGGTGATCTGCCCACCTCGGCCTCCCAAACTGCTGGGATTACAGGCGTGAGTCACCAAGCCCGACCAATTTAACAGTTTCTAATGGGTATAGTTGGGGGAGGAGGGAAGGACAAAAGATCTGCAACATATATGGTTTTAAAAACTTTAAGATTCAACTGCTAAAAAGCTCAACTGAATGCCAGGACCTTAACCAGTCTTTCACCTTAACCAGTTTAGAAACTGACTCACAAAGAAAAATTAATCAAGCAGATCAGTAAATGTTAATCATTAACATATTTTGAAAGAACATTTATCTGAAAGAAAATAAGAATGATACAACAATCATCACTGCCAACTCGTTATTTTTAGAATTGTTTTAGGAAGTTACAATGATAATCCTTCAACTCTATTTCTTCTTTAACATCTTTAAAACTCAAAATAGAACAGCTAAAGGGGAAGTAAAAAAATTTTATCTATATGTCTGAATCACATCTTTTCTCTTCCTTCCTTGGTTTATCCTCTAAGCAAATGGCAGAGATTGTCAGAGTATTTAACATAAAGAAACCCTGTGGGAGGGGGGATAAAAAGAAGTTAACAAACATTTTCGAAGTCCTTTGAATTCCTGAGGAAGATATGTTATTGCATTAACTTATGAATTAATCTCAACTCTATTTTTGCTTCATGGTCCAGTGCACATACTCATTACTGATTTGCTAAGACAAAGGAAAAGAACAATCTTCAGAGCTGTCACAGAAATACAGAATCTAATAAAAAATAGCTTTCCATGAATTCACTATATATTAGAGTATTTTCAGCTCCAAGTAACAGAAAACATAACTAACAGTAGATTAATTAGCTCATGTAACAAAATTTTGCAAGTAGCTCCAAGATTGTTTCAGAGTTCAACCAAATCATGGTGCTAGGTTAACTTTCGGCAATTTTCTTGGCCTTCTCATTTTTGAAACTTGCCAGTACCAGCTCTAAGCATCACATCCTTATATGGAGCACCCAAAGCAGGGAGGGAAAGAATTCTTTCAGCATCTCTCTATTGCCATCAGGGAAGACATTTTTGTCAAATGTCCTCCAGTAGACTTTCTTTATGTCTCACTGGCCAGAACTGTGTCACATGGGAGGAATGTAAACTGAAATAATTTGCCAAAGGATAATAATGACTGGTTTACACTAACAATGATTCACCATTCATCCCCTGGGGTTAGGCAACTTGCCATTACACAAAATTATGGTTTGGTTAACAGAAGAAAGAGCCAATGACTCTTGGGTAAGCAAACAACAGTGTCTGTCACATCCTTCTCTTTGAAAGTTGGGACATTTTAAAGGTTGGATGGGGACCTATTAAGCACTAGCAGCAACTTCAGTTCAGAACTAACTTCTATTACTAGCTTTTGACACTCAACAATATTTACTGATTTATCTCAGCTGTATTAGGCTACAAAAACCCTGAACTCATTGAATGGACCAACCAATGTATTTACTGGTGGACAATCAAATAAATAAAAATCAAATAAATTGATGGTCAATCTATCTCCAGATTTTTTCTCCTTGCATGCAATACTATGATAAATATCTCTGTATAGTTTATTTTTTGTGGATGTATAAAAGTATATGAGTAGGAAAAGTTCCTGGGTTTTGTAAAATGCTTAGTCAAAAAAACATATTTTTTGCATTTTAACAGATAATGATAAAGTACTGTTAAAAAAAAAAAACAAAACGGGCTGAACCAAATACATTTCAACCAGAATGTAAGATACCTGCTTCCTCATGGCCATACCAACGTTCACTGAGTGTGATCTTTTAATTTACACTTAAAAGTTATGAATAAAGCTGAGCATCTGTATATGTGTAAATTTACTGGCAATATGAATTATTTTTTCTTTAAAGTATCTATTCATATCATTTGTCATTGTTCTACTAGAGGATTATCCACCTTTTATTGGTTTATAAGAGTCTTTTGTTCATTGTAGGAACTAAGCTTTGTCTTCATTGCTAGCTTGTCATTATTTGATATTTTAACAATTTTTTATATTTTTTAATTTTGCAAAAATCAAACATTCTTTTTCTTTACGATTTCTGGGTTTTGTGGCATGTTTAGAAAGGTCTTCTCTTAAACCTAGATTATTAAAAACAATTGGAATTATAATTTTATTTCTTAAGTATGAAACCTAAGTTCACCTAGACTTTTCTTTGATATACAAAAGTCAAGTAGGGATCCAGATTTTCCCATTCATTCGTATTTTATTTATTTATTCATTCATTCATTTATTTACTTACTTACTTATTTAAAGAGAAAGAATCTTGCTGTTGCCCAGGCTGGAGTCAGATTTTCCTTTTTTAAAAATACTGCCAAGTCTTAAGCAATGTCTCCATGTCATATATTGTTTAATCTATTCTTCGTCTCTGACTGGAAATGCCAACTTTACCATATACTAAATTCTCATATGCATTGGGGACATTTTTATACTATCTGTTCTATTTCATCCCATTAATCTGTACCAAACTGTAGCTTTATAAATAACTGGTAGTGCCAGTACTACTTCATTAACTTTCATTTTCAAAATTGTTGTTAGTGTTCTTGCATGTTGGTTTTTAGGTGTGAACTTAATAATTCTCATTTACTATCAAGTAACCTAAATTTCATATCTAAAAATACAAAATACTTTTGTAAAAATGTAACTAGCAAAAACACCCCTGGGAGAGTGGAAGGGGGAAATTAAGGAAAGTTATTATTACCAATAATTTTGACAGGGAAAAAAGTAGATACTCTACTAAAAAAGTAGATACACCAAATACAAAAGATACTAAACTGACAGCAGTGAAGCCTAGTTATGTTGAAAATAAGCGCTACTATTTTCTAGTTCAGTAACTAATCTATGTATAAAAGTATATGAGTAGGAAAAGTTCCTGGGTTTTGTAAAATGCTTAGTCGAAAAAACATATTTTTTGTATTTTAACAGATAATGATAAAGTACTGTTAAAAAAAAAAAAAAAAAAGGCTGAACCAAATACATTTTAACCAGAATGTAAGATACCTGCTTATGACAGCTAATGACAGCAAATCATTAGCTTCAAAATCTTCTCTGTGTTGCTGGTTTGGCTTTACTCATTTAATTGGTAAAAGTATAAAAGGATCAGAAACATAAGGAGTTATGACTACACTAATTTTTTAAAATGTCAGTAAGCACAATAAGCACATTCCTAGGGCCGAAATGAAAATCAGTATGATTTTGCTTTTAAGGTTTTCATAAAAATTTATTTATAGATAAATCAAGTTCTGTAGACATAACTCACATAGTCCTCATATCTTAGTTTCACAGCCTGATAACAGCAGAAGGGAATGAAATTTAATTTTCAAAATTTTGGAGATAGATGGTCTTATGATCAACTGGTCCAATCCCCTCATTTTCAGATGAATAATCAGGTTCAGAGAAGTTATGTAATTTTTCTAGAACTGCAGAGGGCTGAGTGGCAGACCCGGACAAAGAGAGACCAAGTCTTCCGATTCTCAATTTGCTATTCTTTCAATTGTACCAATCTGCTACGACGGTTAGAACAGGATGGAATAAAAAATGGCAGATGTGGGAAAACAGAGTGGACAGAATTTAAAGATCAAAACAGCTAAATACATAACTACTAAAGAACAAGGATCAGGTTGTAAGAGCTCAGTATTACCAATACTTGACTTAGCATTTGACAAATGAAGAAGGTTCAATATATGTTTCTTACTTGAATGAATATGAACAGGAGAAAGCACTCTTACTATAGCAGACTGAGTTTCTATAGCAAACTACAAAACTCTGGTGGTGTGACAGATCATCTTCTACACATACGTTTCAATTAGTGTTAAATACAGAGCTTACATATGGGGAATCTGCTAAACCCCTTGTGTTCAAAGTCTTATTGCCAAAAGTTTCTCAGAAATAAACTCAAATTTTAGATATGCTGAATTCTGATGTAATTATGTATGTGTTAGACACAATGCTAATAAATCCCTTAAAGCAGCTGCCAATCCATTGATTTAAATTATAATTTTCTTCTGCGGAGAGCATAAAATTGTTACACTGTAGTTTAAAAATAGGAATTAAAGTTGCTTCAGATCTTTAGATGTTAAATCTAAGATGGTACATTTAGATAATTATAAAGAGCAACAATTTAAGATTTTATAGTATCTGACAATACAGAATTACATAAACAGCAGTAATTTTACTATTAGCTATACCATCTCGGTGATCTCAATAGTTCAAACAAATTTATTCTATGAGCTCAAACAATCCCATTTGATACTCACATTGTAAATACAATTTTAATCAAATAAGCCACATTACTGAATCACAGATAAACACAGTAATTACATGTTAAGTCCATCTCAAATTACAGTAATTAACTGGAGTAAAAAAATCTTTAGAACAACAGTTAACAAACAACAGAATGATTAATAAGCTACAGAGCATCTACATAATGGATAAAATTGGTGTTTTCTAAGAATATTTTAAAATGTGGGAATTTAAATAGTATTCCACCTTCTTAAAAGCACTTTTCACGGCTTACAATAATCTAGTAAGAGAGAAAAAAATGTACTTTTTAAAAGTGAGGTAAAAGTAATTCTATGGGAGGGCAATATAATATACCATGGTTCTGATGTGAGGTTTTTTGAACAGTCTAACTTAGTTCAGTAAAACACTTTTAGGAGATCTAGAGTACTGAAACCACTGAATGCTCTTTAAGAAATCGTGAACAAAGTCTTGTCTATTTCAGCTGATGTTTGTACAGGTATTGAAAAGCACAGTCAAGATTTTATACAGCCAGATGAATACCTAGAATTGTGTTAACAAGGATGGCTAGAGCCACATGTTTTTAAATTTCTAACCTGGGCTTAAGGCATTAGAGAATTTTGGGAGACAACGATCTACAAGCTAAGATCTGAGAGGTAAGCAGTACAAGTTAGCTAGATTTTGGAGGTGAGAGGAAAGTGATTCAGGTAGGAGGAATAGCATGGGCAAGTATCAAAGGCAAGTAAAACACACTATCTATAAAGATTTAATATTCGGTGGTCGTGAAACAGAGAGTTGGTGGCAAGAATTGTACAGATACGAAGTACAGGACTGCAGAACTGAACTGGGGCACATCATAAAAGAGTCTGTGAATTACGTTAAGTTTAGACTTAATCCTGAGGGCAGGGAGAAACAAGATTTAAAGTGAGGAAGAACACCCATCAGGTTTATATTTTTAAAAGTATGTTCTTTTCTTCATTAGCATTAATCTAAAGGTAAGGTTGTCACTTTATTTTTCCTCTCCATGTACAACCGTAACTCCATGAAGATAGGGCCCTCATTCACAGTTGTACTCCTAGTGCGTAGCTTATTGTCTGGCACACAGTAGGTGACCAAAAAATATCTGCTGTATAAATGTTAAGGCATATGGTTCTATTCTTTACTGGTAACACAGAATAGCTGTATTCTGCTTGCAGTATGGAGAATGGGTTGCAGGGAGGGTACACAGGGAGAGGAAGTCTAGAGACAGAGGCCAAATAGGTGATGTTAGCCCAAACTAGTTCATAGTGAAGCAGCAATGGGAATAGAGAGATGAGGCAAAATTGGCATGATTTGATGTTAACTGGCTAGATTAGTGAACCTGAGGGTAGCACTAACATCTTTTTGTGAAAATTAAGGCACCCAACAGTAACACCAACCAAAACTAGAGGGTTAACCCATCTCTACTCCTAGAGTAGCCATGAACGGAGACAGTATTTTCCTTAAAATCTAATTTGGGCCATTTACAAATGTGGAAGCAAAAGCTGAGACATTAGGTAACTTGCCTAAGATTAACTAAGGACTGAAATAGACTCTGGAGAGCCAGAACAGTGGTTCTCAATCCCAGCTGCATATTAGAATCCTCGAGGAGAGAGAAAGTTGGGGGAGAAGTAAGAGGGACATGGGAAAACGAATGGAAAGGAGGGAAAAGAAAGAAAGTGAGAGAGGCAGAGATGGGGGGTGGGGACAGAAAAAAAGAGAATAATTTCCATTTCACTCTAATATGCTAACAGAGCCACTGAGGTTCCTCAATTCCAAGTATAACTGCAACAGTTTTAGGTGGGAAATTTTTCGAAGTAATTCTAACCAGACGCTCAACCCCTGCCATAAAAATCCTCAGTCAACAAGCCTTTGAACTAATGCAACTCACAGGAATATTGTCAAAATTAACCACTTGGAAAATGTACACCTAGACAAAGAAGTGGTATTTTCAAAACTTAAATCAGATCAAGACACTGATATTAAACCTTTGAATTATCTCCTATTTTATTCGGAAAAAAAAAAATCCAAACTCCTTGCATTTGTAACAAGGCACTGAATACTGCGACTCTTATCTGTGTAGCTCTAACCTAGTTTCATACCAACTTTCCCCATCCTCAATTCATACCAGTCCCACTATATCCGAACACCCCAGGTTCCTTACTGCTTTGGGAACTCTGTACTTGTTCTTCTCTCGGTTCTTCACATGGTTCTTCCTAATTCTCTACTTTTCATCTTAAATCTTAAAGATTACCTCCTCAGAGGTGGTTTCCCAATCTACTCTGTCTAAATGAGACCTCCCCTGTTACTCATTATCAAAGCATCCAGTGTATTTTCTTCACAGTACTTAGAACACAACTGCAGGTCTCTCTCCACTAGAATGTGAGTCCTCTGAGGGAAAGGATCCTCCAGGTCCATAGATGAATCCCAAGTGCCTAAAATAATATTGGGCCTACAGAAGACAATGAACAATGTCTGTGAAACAGGTGCTTTTATCCACATTTTGCAAATGAGTCATTAATAAAAAACACCAATTTATAAGCAACAGTTAAAAAGAAAAGCTGATCAAATTTCTCACCCTATTGTTCAAATTAGCATTTTAAACCGTTGCACCTTAATCAAAGTCACTCTTTTATGTACAATAATCACAGGCAAAGCAACTACTATGCAGGGTAACTGTAAATGATCAAAACAGGACACTTTTGAAAATGAATGGAGCACTATTAATAATTATGCCACGGCAATATGCATAATCTAAGCAAACCAGCCATTCCATTACTAATAACCTCTTGGATGCTGAGTTTTTAAATTTACAAGGTGTTACCAATCCCATGAAGTTCCCCGCTTAAGACACACACCCTACTATGCTAGTGCCTAATATAAAGATCACTAGAGTGAAAACAGAAGACGAAAAAAATTAGCAAACATAGAATAAAAACATAGAATAAAAAGTTTTTAAGCTATTGATTCTTGCAACCCGCCCCCCAATCGAAGGATTTCCTTCAAGCAGAAAGTATGTGAATTTCTAAATGAATTGTTTGTGTGTGTGCTTGTTGAGGGTTGGGGGGCGGGTTGCAAGAATCAATAGCTTAAAAACTTTATACATATTTAAAAACAGATAGAACTGAATAAGCTGGTAGAATTTTCTTTCTCTTACTCAGAATTACTCAATTAAGGAAATAAAGAAAGGGTGAAAAATGATTAGAAAGAAAAGAGAATGAATTATAGTTTTCTACCTAAAGTAATTAAGACATGAGAGAAGAAATCACTCAATGCCCTTACCCATCCCAGAGTCTTTCTTGGTGCCATCTGATATTATGTCTACATGATCAGAGTCCACATCATAACTAAAGAAATCATTCAAATAGGTCTTTGATCGCTGGCCACCAAATACATATAAGCAACGATTTTTCTGAAAAAGAAGAAAAAAAAGAAGAAAGGAGAAACTTGTCACTTCCATGAAGAACTCAGAATGAGCCTTTAAAAACTTAAACCTCTACAAAAGTAATTTTACAATAGATCCCAATGGAGCTGGAATAAAAGGGAAAGAGGAAGCTCTCTACATATTGCTAAAAGGTGATCTCTAGGACATCCTGTTAAAGAAGAAAAGCAAGGTGCAGAATGATATATTCAGGTTCCTTCTTCCTTTGTGTAGGAATGGAGAAGGAGGAACATCTGTGTATGAGACAAAAAGAGAGGGAGAGAGGGAAAGAGAAAGCGAGAGAGGGGAAAAGTGAGAGAGACAGCACGCGAGCGAGAGTAGAGATTTTTTCTTTTTTTCAAAAACAAAGGAAGGATAAACCAAAACCTAATAAAGACAGTTACCTATAGTGGCAGGAACAGAGCAGGAAGACCTCTCCAAAAATACCCTGACATATGGTTTTGACTTTAGAACCATGTATATGCTTTTATTTAATTAGAAGACAAAATTAACTAAAAAAAAAAAATCTAAAATTTGGGCAAAAAAAATCCAACAACAAATAAACCTATCTGTATACAAAGATATACTCACACAGAGAAGTAGTATTTCTAGTGATTTTAATACATACATTTTGACTACCCATCCCTAGAAGTCTAAATCCTAAACAGAAAAATAACCAGAAACCAACATTAAACAGCACTCAGTGATTCTGTTGTTAGCTTTTTTACTGTGAAAGCTATTATAGACAGACAAAGCAAGTAATGTTATGAAGCAGTATTTTAACCTTAAAAGACACAAAAATAGGCCAGGCATGGTGGCTCACACCTGTAGTCCTAGCATTTGGGCAGGCCAAGGTGGGACGATTGCTTGAGACCAGCCTGGGTAACATAGCCAGGCCCTGTCTCTACTTCTTCTACTTCTTCTACTTCTTCTACTACTTCTACTTCTACTACTACTGCTACTACTACTACTACTACTACTACTACTACTACTACTACTACTACAACAACAACAACAAACCCAGGTGTGGTGGTACACACCTATAGTTTTAGCTACTTGGGAGGCTAAGGTGAGAGGATCATTTGAGCCCTGACACTCAAGGCTGTAGTGAGCTATGATCTGCACTCCAGCCAGGGTGGCAGGGCAAGACCCTATCTCTAAAAAAAAGAAAAGCTATAAGTTACAAAATAGAAGACATTAAGATAAAAAATATTTTATTTGAATTAGACAAATCAGTATGAACTCACGATTTAATTTTTCTCTTACAAAAAAAGATACATAAATATGTGGTGGTGGTGGTGTGGGGGTGCTCCTACTAGCCAAAGAGAAAAATTTGAGCATCAAGAAAGTGGCCGGGTGCAGTGGCTCAGGCCTGTAATCCCAGCACTTTAGGAGGCAGAGGCAGGTGGATCACCTGAGGTCAGGAGTTCGAGACCAGCCTGGCCAACATGGTGAAACTCTGTCTCTACTAAATACAAAAAATTAGCTGGGCGTGGTGGTGCATGCCTGTAATCCCAGCTACTTGGGAGGCTGAGGCAAAAGAATCACTTGAAATTAGGAGGCAGAGGTTGCAGTGAGCCAAGACTGCACCATTGCACTCCAGCCTGGGCAACGAAAACAAAACTCTGTCTCAAAATAAAAGAAGAAGAATGACAGCACTGGATAGAAATACATCAAATATGTAAAATACTTAATAATAAAATTTCTGTACACTTATCATTGGTTAGCTTTGGAGCCTCAAAGTTAACTCATTAATATGAAAAACAATAAAGGAAAACAATCAAACATTTATACTGCCTATTCAGTATGCTTTACATTTCAGGGTAACCAAAAGGTTAATGAGAGGAAGTTTTTTTTTCTCCCTCCATAATAGGAGAATCACACACTTAATAAATGCAGAGGAAATGACATCATTAGAAAAATCACCATCTTACACATCCTAACGAAATTTAGGCAACGAAAGGCTACAAAAACCATTAGGCACAAGTTTGAAAGAAAACTTTATAATTGATCAGTCAGGCTAATAACACCCAACCTATTAACATCATCGAAAGCATGACAACCAGTTATTAAATGCTTCTTTATATTTTGCAATCAGAGTGTCTATGAAGTATTCTTGCACATTCTCCCCGGCCCCCAAAAAAGACAGTGAATCTAAAATCAAGCCTCTGAGTGCAATGACCAGTTTATAGGAAATATGAAAGAGGAACACATTAAATTACACTACGAAGATAAAATCAAAATCAAAACTGGAAATATGGGAGATTCTAGAGCACAAATGTCTCGCTTAGTGGGTTGTGTGTGTGTGGGAGAATAGGGAATAGGAGGAAAGAGTACTATTACAATTTTTAAAAAAATGTATGAGACATAACAACCAAATGCAAAATACCTTTTTTGAATCTTGACTTAAACAAACCAACCAAGTAAAGATATTTTTCAGTATATTAGAAAAAAAGAACACAGATAGAATATTAAATGATAATAAAGAATTGCTTTTATTTTGGTTGATAATGATACTACAATTATGTTTTCTTTCTTTTTTTTTTTTTAAGAGAGAGTCTTGCTATATTGCCCAGACTGCAGCACAGTGGCTATCACAGGAGCGATCGCACTATTGATCAGCATGGGAGTTTTGACCTGTTCTGTTTCTGACCTAGCCAATTAACCTCTACTTAAGCAACCTGGTGGTCCTTCGGTCTGGGAGGTAACCATACTGATGCCAAACTTAGTATGAACAACTGATTAAGCACAGTGCAATGTGGCCCAGAACTGGGCTCCAGCAATCCTCAGCCTCCTGGGTAGCTGGGACCACAGGTGTGTACCAACACACCCAACTGTAATTATGTTTTTAAAAAGCCCTTATCTGTTACAATTATACACTATAGTAGTATTTACAAGTATGATGATACAGTATCTGGGATCTGCTTTAAAACACTACAGCAGGTGCTGTAACAAGAAAGGAATAATAAAAATTTTAAAAATACTCCAGCACAGTAAAATTTAAGAATAAACTTAAAAAAGAAACATCAAGAAAATGAATGAAATTAAAGTGGAATAGCTGTATGAAAAACGAGCAGATTATTGATGACTGCTGAAACTAACAAATGAGCACACAAAAATGTATTATTAATTATATTATCCTCTCCATTTTGTACAGAGAAAAACATGTTTAAAATACATGTTAAAGAACATGTTTAAAATATTCCATGATATTGTTTTAAAGCTATGTTCACAGAAAGAAGACCAAGATTTCATTAAAACATCTGAAAAGGTTAAAAAAAACTCTGTATGTTGGTTTTGCTGATACATTTATTATTATTATTATTATTGAGACAGAATCTTGCTCTGTCACCCAGGCTAGAGTGCAATGGCATGATCTTGGCTCACTGTTGCAGCTTTTGCCTTCTGGGTTCAAGTCATTCTCCCACCTCAGCCTCCCAAGTAGCTGGGACTACAGGCACAGGTCACCATGCCAGGCTAATTTTTGTATTTTTACTAGAGGTGAGGTTTCGCCATGTTGGCCAGGCTGGTCTCGAACTTCTGGCCTCAAGTAATCCACTGTGCCTGACCATTGCTGATACATGTAAATTCTAATTCTATAAAATCAAATCTTAAATTCTTTGTACTTAATGGAGAATAGCAGAAGGGAAAAAAAGAGAGAAAGAAATTGTCCTTCTAATTACTAAGAGAAATTAGTAAGTGGAAAGACCTAAGAAAGGAACAAAGCTACAAAATCGATTTAAGCAGTGAAATTAGTCGTAAGATTGCCTAGATTAGTAGTCAGGTAATAACTACTTAGGAATTACCAGGCTGATGGGAAGAGTCTCACAATTAGCCAACAGTTCACTGTTAAAGAAGTTTTGTCTTTCTCTGTCATTGCTACACTAATCATTTATTCCTAAGGAAAAGTTTTTATCACTTCCTGGAGAATTAGATTTCACCACTTCTTTTCCTATCTAGGTATACATGATAAAATAACATTTACGCAATGTACGGAATATTCTTACTGAGTGGAATAGCATGCAGTGTCCTATTCGAGACTGGATGTCCTCAGGCCCAGCATTACAGGAGTCCTCTCGAAGAAGTTTCCAGGTTTGACATTGACAGTTGAAAGCAAATAAGCCACTGAATTGTGGTTCACTGGCTCTGCTGTCATCTACGCTGCCATTACAAGTCAAAATTCTACCACCAAAAGTGTAGATCATATGTTTTTCTGAGTCCATACACATCTATCAGAACAAGGCAACAGATTGAATAGTTTTAGTTTGTTCCTGTCATATGTGTTAAAACAAAACCAACATGTACAGTTTTACATTCTCAAAAAAAACTAAACTTTGTCCCTAATGACACTAAATACCACCCGATTATCATATGCAAGTTTCTAAATACTTTTTCAAGTTGCCATTTTTCCCAGTGAGAGTAAAACATGTTGTGATAAAGAGCTTTCTGCTTTCTTGAAACTGCATAATTTTTACCAAAATCAACCAATGATACATGAGGTGTTGATTTATACGTAAGAGTGAATACTTATCATATTTCGGGTGAATAGTGATCATACTCTCCTTATTAAAATTCCCTTTCATTCTAGGCAAGCATCCTATTTACATTACTACCATTTATTAAGCGATCAGATATGCAAATAAGAGTGGTACAGCTAAATTCATCTCTCTGCATTTATTTTTATAAAACCCTTCAAATTATGTTACAAAACAGTAGAACAAACAAAAAGACATTTACAACAATCAAGTCTCCAAACTGACTTCTACAGTGTAAAGAACTCTATCTGCTTTTAACATAGCACTATTAATTTTCTTTGAATTAAGCTATACACTTCATGTTTAAAAGTCAAGCTTTATTCTTCCATTCTTCCAACTCAAGATTGTAGCTTTTCATAAAAATGTATGAGAAAACAGCCATTTGTCATGAGACAATAAGAATCAAATTCTGTTTCAAATAATACATAAATCCATGTTGGGAATTAGCTGTTAAACGTAAGTGGCGTTTATATAAAGAATAAATTGTGTACACAAAACATCTATGTTTTGCTAAAAAAAAAAAAAAAACTAAACATTTGATATTCAATTCTCCTACCAAATTACTTCTGCTACTTATGTATTTTTGTATTTTTTTTAAATAAAAGGCTATTTTCATATATGTGTGTGTGTGTGTGTGTGTGTATATATATATATTTATTTATTTATTTTTCCTCCCCGAGACAGAGTTTTACTCTTGTTGCCCAGGCTAGAGTGCAACAGTATGAGCTCGGCTCACCGCAACCTCTGCCTCCCAGGTTCAAGCAATTCTCCTGCCTCAGCCTCCTGGGTAGCTGGGATTACCCGCATATGCCACCATGCCAGGATAATACTGTATTTTTAGTAGAGACGGTGTTACTCCATTTGGTCAGGCTGGTCTTGAACTCCCAACCTCAGGTGATCCGCCCGCCTCGGCCTCCCAAAGTTCTGGGATTACAGGCATGAGCTACCATGCCTGGCTATTTTCATAATTTTAAAGGTATTAAAAAATTGAGGTTATTATTATTAAAAAGAAAAGATTCTAACATCTCCTAATTTTTATCTACCACTAAAAAGATCTACCTCATTAGCCATTTCCTAGGTTTCTCAAAGACTTCTATAAATTAAGATGAAAATCTATTCCCTAAGGGTGAAATCTTGGTAAATATGGTTGAAAAACAAAGATGTCTGGCCTACCACAGAAACTACTCCTATTTTTTAAATGATCATATAGTTAAAATCAGCACATTGCTGAAGACAACTCAGTTTGGCCCCATCCAACTACTGCCTCCGTTGAGGGCTCCATTGGAGCTGGGTCACATTTCCCTTGCTGAAGTACTTCAGACTCAATCACTCCAAATATCTGGGAACTATGCTGAAAATCTTTAGGGACTCACATTAAATGAGTTTATTTCCATTTTTTATTAACTCACAGATTCATACTAATGGCCAATCTTTGTTACCAACCCCCTACCTTTCTACTTCGTATGGCTACAAAGAGAGTTTCTTTCTTTTTGAGGATATTCAAGCTTAATTTTGATGTGGCTTACTCTCATTTGTTTGCAGGGCTGAAGTATAAACATCCTTATCTTGGTAGTTCTTCCTAGGACACCAGTCTAAACCAAGAAACCTTTTAATACTTGATTTCCACTCTTTTGATTTGTCATTTTTACTCTCCAAAAAAATTTCTGAAAAGCTAGTAACTTATTAAACTCTGTATGATAATGTCTTTTCCATCAAAGACTTAAAAAAATCTTTAAAGCCAAAAGTTTAAAGACTATTCATTTATTATGTCAGGGGTTAGATATTTAATTTTTAAAATCAAACAAATAGTGGATAACCACTTATTTTCCTGGGAAAAATTATTTTTTGAATCTGAAAATGCCTTTATTTTACCCTATCACAGGAATACAAGATTGGTAAGGGTTTGGCTGGGTTCAAAATAATCGTCTCCTCACAAAATTTGAAGATACTGCTATAAAGCCTTCTAGGTATCCAGTGTTACCCAACCTACCACTTTCCTTCTACAAACCTCCAAAAATGCCTCATGACCCAGTGAGAATATCAATGAGCTGAGATCTTCAATTCTTCAACTGAAGTTTTTCCTGCTACTTCTTGGCTAGCTCACTTTCCATTTTCTAGTAATTTCCACAAAAAGTGATTACACTTGAAGGACAGTTTGGCTAGATATAAAATTCTTGGCTCACACTGTCTTTTCCTGAATGTCTTCTAGATGTTGCTCTATTATCTCCTGGCACTGAAAGGAGATGTAGAGAAATCTGATACCGGTCTCATTTTAGTTCTCTTATAGGTGACTTGATCATTTTGTCTACTTGCTATAAAATGATCTCTTATCTTTTATAGTCAATGTTATTAATATATGTCTTAGAGTTAAGTATTTGGGTCAACTTTTTCTGAATATAGTACGCCCATTTGATACGTGGAGTAAAATCTTTCTTCAGGAAAATGTTCTTGAATTCAATTGATAAATATTTGTTTTTTCCATCATTTTGGTTTTCTTCTTTAAAGTCTCCAATTACATATATGTTGGCTCTCCTCTGCCTACCTTCCCCAGTTAATCATTTTTACCTCTTTGTTTTATCTTATTCCTATGCTGTATGATCATTACCTATCCTTCTTTACACTGTAGATAAGTCTTCATTTCTGAAAGGGGCAATATACCGGGATATAACTTTCATTTACTGTTATTTTTCTTTTTATTGTTTTTCTTTAGAATGTCTCTCTAAAGCTTTATTTATTGCTTTTTAGTTTTTCATATATAATTGAGTTGAATTTTCCTGGACCAGATGACTTTACAGAGGATTTCTGTGGAAGGTGTATATTCTTGCTCAAGAACTCCTTCCTCTGTTGCTATTGAATTGAATGATTCCTTCAAAATATGGCACTTCTGGTGAAGCCAAATCTTCTCTAATTTTATGAATCTCATCTGGCTTACAGGGTTGATCTCAAGCTTTGAGCTCCCCAAATTTCTTACCGGCCATTGCAAAAGGAGCCATAATTCCCACTATGTTTCCTTCACTTTTACAAAACAGTGCTTTCTGACATATATCACCTCTGGATCTTTCTGGGTACTTTACACATGTTAATTCAGTGATTCTTCCAGTGGCTGCCCTGGGTGCAATCTGTGCCCTGTCCCTGACACTTCTCACTATGATATACAACTGCTAGGCTCCCTCTGCTTTCCCAGGCCTCCCTATTATACTGTTGTGGACTTCAACAAAAGTTCTGAATATTTCAGTTGTTTTTGGATAAACTTACAAGGCACTGGGAGTTGTAGGTTTACTCTGGCTCTTGATTTTGCTGAGAGAGAGAGTGTGTGTGTGTTTAAATCTTTTTGCTTGATTACCATTATTCCTGGAAAACCACACAAAGCAATATCAAGGAAAGCTTGAGAACTAAACTGCCACTATGTTCTTAAGAAATCCAGAAGTCTTTAAATTTTATTTTTTAAATATGTTAAAATTAAAAATGGCAAACAGCTTTTAGGCATGTTTGTATCGTATAGCTTTCTCATATTTTTATCAAATTTGAACATTAAGTGTTAAATCCTAAATTGTCATGAACACCACAAGCTATTTTTGGAGTGTCATAAACACTACAAGTATAAGTTCTAACTTATAGCTTTATTTGTATGAAATAGAATAGCAAAATGCAGGAGCATACAGATTACTTCCTCACTATTACAGGGCTAATTGTTGGCTGAATGAGTACTGAAATCCTTATTTCTTCACCCCCAGTGTTCTGCTGTACCACCTAATCAGTTGAAAACCATGCATTATTTAATAGCACCCAGCTTCCAAGAAACATCCTATTTTATAAAATCAAGAGAAACAAAGGCCACACCCAAGAACTCTCTACGTGCTACTCCTAAGCTATTCTTTTTTTCAATCTGTTAAAAAAAAAAAAAAAAAAAAAAAAGAAATACATAACCATTTGGGAACAAGAGAAGAAATTGTTCCCTAACAATATTATCTGCTGATATTTCTAAAAAATCAGAACCAGCCTAACTTTTCTTGGCATGCTTATTTTCCACATGAAGAACACTGAGGGTGTCAGCGGGGATGTGCATAGCTTTGTGGAGCTCAGTTAAATAGAGCCAACAGAAGTTCCAAATTTAAGCTGGGGAGTATTTCTAAGAATACTGGTTTTGATTTTCTACCTACCACTTAACTTGATAGGCATAACTCACTCTTCCTCTCCTTACCACTCTCCTATAACAATTATATGTTAATAGAAATATGGCAATAGGATAGTTTAAAAGCAAAGAATTAACAAAAATCTATAAAGACACAATAAACAAAGACCCTGGGTTCTGACTCCTAGATAAGATTTTAGGTCTCACCTAGGTTTTGTCATAATTCTAGCACCACCTCCCATTTCCCGAATACTAGATAATTTATGTTCATCAACACAGAGTTATAGATTTTTAAAGTCTTTTTCTCCTCAATACATCCAAAAAAAAAAAAAAAACTTGGGATGTGGGTTGAGCCAGGTAAAAACTTGCTTATAGAATTCAAAATGGTTACTGTCTTTTTTGACCTACATTGACTTTGTATGGAATAAGCATTCAAAGACAGGTAACAATGATAATGACAATGATGGGGCTAATGAGAGCTACATGTATATTAATATTAAAATGGCTTACAATGAGGCTATGTTCAGTCTTCTAGTCAACAACATTATTGTATAATTTCTACTGGTGCTGAGTTTAATTTAGTATGTCAAATTCCTCTCCAGGTTTATAAAATTTTGTGACTATAAACAAAACAAAATATATTTCACTCTAACTGGAAGAAAAGCTCTAGATTTCATCTAGTTCATTATAAAGTGATTTTCCATTTCTTACAGGAATGTAGAATAAGAAATATAATTAAAAGGGTAAGTTGTTACTGTTATGATTTATGCATATGCATTATAAAACTAAATGTGTTTTTCCTAATATTACTCTATCTGCTCTCTAAAGTTTCTATAAATCAACAATCTATGTCCTGAGATTTTTGTATTTTGCCCTGCAACAAACAAGAGAAAAAAATTTAAAGAATAACTTTATACCTACTGAAACAACAATTATTATTATCTGTCATAGGTATTTGTCATGGAAGCACTACTAGACAACTCAGCATAACATCAAACATAAACTCTAATTGCAAGAATCACTAAGCACTGATTAATTCCATCATATATTTAACTGTGCATCAAACCTGATGATCAAACACCAATTTCGGCCCTCCATCAGCAGCAGTATCCTCACTTAGTAACATCCATGTGTTTGTATCAATGTCGTAACGATAGAAGTCACTTTTCAGAGATTTGCTATTCCTCACAGAGGAATCCAAATAACGCCCCAACGTGTAGATTTGCCTCCGTTGAATGTCAATGCACATTTTATGACACGATCTGGCACTAGGACCATTCTGTAGAGAGAGAGAAAATGAATAAACAAATAAACAAATGAAAGAGAAAAAACAATCAAAGAACAAATAAAAGACAAATTAAATGCCCTTTTTATTACCTTTCATTAAAAGGTTTCTCAGAGACTCACATCAAGTCAACCAATATGAGTCCAACACTAGGCTTAACTCTCTAAAGAAAAGCAAAAGCAGTAAGCAGTAGGAGACACAAATCTTACCTTAGAAATGCTTAAAATCTACCATGAAAGATGAAATGAACTACACTGCAGCTTATGGCACTCTGTTGATAATATCTATATGGTTTCTACCATATACTGCACTGTGTTTTAGTCATTTGTGCACAGAGTTCAATTCCCTATTACATGACAATCTACTTTAAGACATGTTTGGTCTTTATGAACATTTTTGTATTTCTCATCAGACTCTAGCACAAAAGAGGTACTCCAAGAATATTTAGAATCAGTGAATTTCAAAATTAGAAGAAACATCAATAAAATCTCTAGTTTAATCACTTGGACACAGGGTGGGGAACATTACACACCGGGGACTGTTGGGGGATGGGCAGCAGGAGTAGGGATAGCATTAGGAGAAATACCTAATGTAAAAGATGAGTTGATGGGTACAGCAAACCAACATGGCACATGTATACTCACCTATCAAACCTGCACATTGTGCACATGTACCCTAGAACTTAGAGTATAATAAAAAAGAAATAGAATCTCTAGTTTAGTTTTCTCCTTTTAAAGATAAGAAAATACAACCCTAGCAAGAAAATATAAGACCAGGATGATACCTTTAATATGCTAGTGACAGAAACTAATAAGAATCCAAGTCTATGACTTCTTTATCCATCCTTTGCATTGTAAAATCAATTTTCCTGATTGAATAAACAGCACAGCTACAGTAAATAAATAGGGAATAATATTAAGAATAGTATTTATCAATAAATTAGTTAGCTGGTATCACTTGTATCACAGGACCCGATAAAACATAAAACATATTGTAGTATAATCAAAAGGATTCATGGGGGAAAAAATAACTTCAACTGCACAGGGTTTAATTAGTTGAAAGGGGGAAAGGAAAGGAAACTAATGTTTGTTAAACAACTCCGAAGTTCTGTTTACACTATTACTGTGTATGTGTGTGTTCCATTTAATCCTTATAACAACCCCGTATGGAAATATTATCACCATTTCACAGAGTCCACCGTCACAAAACTAGGAAGTAAGATAGCAAATCTACGCCCTTGTGTACCACAGCCAAAACTGGGCTCTTTCACAATTTCAGATTATTTTTTCTAGAAGAGAAACAAAGGCAAAAACATACTTGTTAAAACAGTGTATGCAGTTATGACTGAGATGAAGAGTTCTTGCTGCAGAAATAACAGAATTGATGTATAAAGTGGACATAGGAAGCCTGATGAATGACTGACAGAGGAGACAGTTTATGATCTTGCAGGCAATAAAGAACTACTGGTGGTTTCTAAAGCAAGATACAACATAAAAAGGCAATATTCTAAGAAGAGTAATCTAGCAGTATTAATTAAGTGAAATGAAGGAATATTAGGCAAGAAGAACAGTATTTTGACAATGAAGTTGATGTAAATGTACACTTTAATATTCATACTATTATTTTTAAACTTATTTTAAAATATTTTTGTCAAAGAATATCTTCAACAAATAAGGTGAAAATTTTATTTAAGAAAGGATTTCCTCCATTAATAATCTCAAAAACAAAGATGAAGTAACATATATCTATGCCATAATGCATAGAGTGTAAAACTTGAAATTTTAGTAAGAGAATAATAGAACTTCTTGCTTCAACTAAATAAGCACAAATAATATTAAAATGATGATCAAATTATATGCCAAGAAAAAAGAAATAAAGATAAATCAATAGACTAGAAAACATGAAAAAAATAGAGAAAATTAACAAAGTTGGTTCTTTGAAAGACTGATAGAATTATAAACCACTGGCAAACTAATTTTTTACAAAAGAGGGAAAATACAAATTGCTAGTACCAGAAACGAAAGCAAGATTAACACTACAGACTTCCTAGAAATGAAAAAAGAGAGAATACTATCAAAAACATAGGTAAAATCTGACAACGTAGATAAAACAGACATAATTCCTTAAAAAACCTAACTTACCAAGATGACATGAGATGAAAGAGGAAAATCTGAAGTAATTACACATACTGAAAAACTGAATTCATTATTGCCCACATATCTACACTGGTAAATTGTATCAAGCACTTAAGGAAAAAACGGTATCAGTTTTAGACAAAATTTTTCAGAAAACGGGGAAAAAGAAAAACTCTACTGTTTATCCACATTCTCTTTCATTCCTAGCTTATTTTATGAGGCCAACATAACACTGAAACCAAATAACAATACTACAAAGGAGAAGGAAGAGAAGGGAAAGGAGGAGGAAGAAATGGGGAAGAGGTGGAGAAATCATTTACAGGTGGCTAGGATCCCTTATGAACAAAGACAAAACCAATCTTTAACGAAATATTACCAAACAGCAGGAGCAGTATATGAAAAGAATATTTTACAACAAAAAGGTGTTTTTATCTCAGGAATGTAAAGTTGATTTTACATCTGAAAATCAATCAGGATAATCTGCCACATTAATAAAGAAGAAAAAACACAATTGTATCAATAAATATGTAAAGGAGCATTTGGTAAAATTTATCTATTCATGATCAAAACTCATAGCAAAATAGGAATAGAAAGACTTTCAATCTGATAACAGATGTAAGAAAATGTAAAATTTAATTTTCTTAATGACACACTGAATATTCTCCTGCTTAGCTATGAAACAAGACAGGGATGTCTTTTCTCACTACTTATATTTAACATTGCTCTGGAAGTTCAAGTCAGTGCAATAAGGAAGGCATTAAAAAATAAAATAAAGGTTGGGCCTGGTGGCTAATGCCTGTAATCCCAGCACTTTGGGAGGCCAAAGCGGGAGGATTCGTTGAGTTCAGGAGTTCAAGACTCCTCTGTACATTCAACATACAGAGACCCTATCTCTATACATAATTTAAAAATTAGCTGGGCATGGAGGCACGCGCCTGTGGTCCCAGCTACTGCGGAGACTGAGGTGGAAGGATTGCTTGAGCCCAGAAGGTCGAGACTGCAGCAAGCCATGATCATGTCACTGCACTCCAGCATGAGCAACAAAGAAAGACTGTCTCAAACAAACAAAAAATAAAATAAAATAAAATAAAATAAAATAAAGATGGAAAAGAGAACAGAAAGAAGAAAAATGACTGCTTCTTTAAAATACTCTAAGAAATAAAAAAGAAGCTATTAGAAATAAGCAGACTTAACAAAGTGACATGATACGAAGGCAATATTAACAAACCAATTGTATTCCTCTATATTACCAGCCAACAAATGGAAAATAAAAAATTTTAAATTCCATTATAATAGCACAAAAAGCAAAATACACTGATATCAAGTTAACTAAAATATTACAGACCTCTTAAATAGAAAACTTTTAAGAGTGCTGAGAGATAATGAAGACTAAAATAAATGGAGACTAAACCATATTCATGGAGTAGAAAGATTCAGTATCATTAAAACACCAATTTGCAGCTGGGTGCAGGTGCTCATGCCTATAATCCCAGCATTTTGAGAAGCTGATGTGGGTGGATCACCTGAGGTCAGGATTTCGAGACCAGCCTGGCCAACATGGTGAAACCCCACCTCTACTAAAAATACAAAAATTAGCTGGGCAGGTGCCTGTAATCCCAGCTACTCGGGAGGCTGAGGTAGGAGAATCACTTGAACCTGGGAGAAGGATGTTGCAGTGAGCTGAGATCGCATCATTGCACTCCAGCCTAGGCAACAAGAGCAAAACTCTGTCTCAAAAAAAAAAAATAAATAAAAATAAAAAAGATCAAACAAAATAAAACTCACCAATTTGCTCCAAATTAATATATAATTTACCATATTCCCATCATAATCCCAACAGTTTCAGAAATTGATGATTCTAAAATTTATATATTACCTAACTTCATGAATTACTATAAAGTTACTACTGTAAAGCTACAGTAATCAAAGGAGTGTCATACTGGTTAAGAAGAGACCAAAATATAATAGAACAGAATAGAGTCCAAGAAGAGACATATACTTACATGATCAATTGATTTTTGGCCAAGGTGCCAAAGCAAATCAATGAGCCAAGAAGATAGGGAGTAAGCAGAAATCTCATACATTGCAGGCAAAGTATAAAATGGTATAACCATTTTGGGAAAAGCTTTAAGTTTCATTAATGGATGATAAAAAGGTGAGAGTTTGATGAGTAACAGCATAATTTCATAATCTTGAAATGTCTCCCTATAAATTACTTGTTAATTATAAATTAGACAAATCTGGTGGGCATCCCCTTAACCAAGTGATTGAAGCTAGTATCAGATAAACGGACGTAATGTGTCTCCTGATATGATATACTGAGGAGATGCTAATGTGATCTATGGGTTATTCTTGCTAAAAATATATCATCTAAATCCAATCCTAAGAAAACATACAAACCCAGCTGAAGGATATTCTAAAAAATAACTGCCCTGCACTCTTTAAAAATCATCAAAGTCAAGAAAGACAAAGAAGTTTAGAGAACTATTCTAGACTAAAGATGACTAAAGAAGCATGACACCAAAAAGCAATACATGATCATGGTCTAAATTCTGGGCTGGGGTTGCAGAGTGACAAGGGATGCCTATAAAGAACATTACTGGGGCATTATTGGATAATAGTCTATATCTGAATAGGAACTGTGGATTAGATTAAAGCAGCAGTTCTCAGTGTGGTCTGGGGTCTCCAAGGTACTTCAAGGGAGTCTATAAGGTCAAAGTTATTTTTACCACAATACTAACAAAAAAAATTTGTCTTTTCACTCTTATTCTCTTATGAGTGTATGTGAACATTTCTGGAGGCTACATGACTTTCTGATACAGCAACTGAATAAAGAAGCATATGAATCCAGATGTCTTT